GTTGATGAAGCCATTGAACGACATAATTCTAATACTTCAGATACATTTGAAACTTCACCATCAGTTAAAAGAAATACTTGACGAGCACGATCAGTTTGTGGTGGATGACGTTCAAGCCATTGTAAAGGTGCAAGCTATATTATATTTTTATTAACTACTATCTTAAATATTATCAATAGGACAAAACGACTTACTATTTCAGTTCCACCTAGATCTGCACGTATTTGACTGATAAATTTTTCCGCAATTCGTACATTGATATTATTATAAAAAGCTGTTGATTCATTAAAAAGACAATCATATTTTGTACCAAATTTAATAATATTAAAATAACAATTATTAGGAAGATTTTTAAGAAATAATAACATAGCTTCTCGTGCAAAACCAATTTTATTTTCATTTTTCATTGATTTACTACAATCAAGAATAAAAATAAATTCATTCGTTCGTTTACTATCTAATGTTAAATAACAATCTTCTTCAAATGGTGTTACTGCTGCCATAGCAGCATTAGATTCAAGAACAATAAATGTATTTGCTCGTTTATCTGATAATTTTATATCTAATAATATATCACGATCTAAATAGGTATGTTTTTGTGCAAATGTAATCATATAAGCATCATCCATAGACAAATCAATATCAACAAGATGTGATGGAGAATTTAATCGAGCTATATATTGTTCTTGATTAGGTCCATATATTTTTTCAATCCGACAACGAAATTGAATTATATATGGAGTTGATTGAATATATTTTGTATTTAATCGAGATATACTACCTTTTTTTTGTGGACTATATCGTGGTGCAATCGTTGCTGGAATAACAAAACGAATTATAGAGCCTTGTATAAGATCTAATTCTGTCACATAAGAAATAATAATTACACATTCTTTTGATGGTGGTAATGTACCAACATTAATAATAAAATTATCTTGTGATTTTTCATCTTGTTCTAATAAATATGTATCATGTTTTTGATAGAAATTATTATTAGAATTAATTTGTGTATCAGGATTTTTTTCTCTTAATTGTGCAATGATTTCACGATTATCAATACGTGCAGTAAAATTATAAATGGCTGCTTGTTCTTCAATAGGAAAGCAATAAACAGCTACAATTGATGTATTTTCATCATTACGAAATATTTGAGTTATAGTTACATCAGCAGCAAATGAACGAATTGTTGATTCAATATTAACTTGTTTCAATGGGACATATTCGGAAGTTGATTTTATTTGATTAACAATTTTTAACATAATTTAAACGAAATATTCTAGTTAGATATATATGTCTTTTATTTAAATTTGTTATCAGATGATTCAGAAAAATTGTAGTAGTGTTGTTATTGAAACGAGTGGCTGATAAAGTGTGTATGCGTAAGAAAGTGCATATAGAATTTTACATAATCAGATTCTATTGGATAAAAAAGGAAAGGAAGGTTGTTGTTAACAGTACTCTTTTTTTAATAGTAAGAAATATTGATCTGTTCTTTTTTTCGTTAAGTATCGTGTTTGTCTAATAGATTTAATATATATATATATATATATATACTCACATTTCTATTTTGTGTGTTGCATAGGAACCTTATCTATAGCATAGCGAGTATTTTTAATAACATTTTGTTGTTTATAAATTGCTCTATATATATAACGAACATCATAAATTTCCAACTAAAGAGTATATAAAAAAAATAGAAACTATTCAATTAAATTTTTTATAGTCATTTTTATTAATACAAAAAAAAAGAAAAAAGAATCATTAAAACTATTAATCTTGGCTCAACATTCTCTGTTTGATCCATGTTAAATAAGGCACCGTACGAGTATAAACACCTGGAAAACCACGTTTCGAACATCCATAACCATAGGATGTAATACCACCTATTGACCATATACCATTTTCTTGAGACATCAATGGACCACCACTATCACCCGCACTGCAAAAACAAATATTCTCTGTCATAGGATTCAAATACATAGAAAAAAAGAAGTTTTACCAAGTATCTTTTGACCAATCTAAAGCTGCGGCACATACTTGTTTTGTAGCATCATAATGAATATCTGTATAAACTCGGCAATTAGTTGTTGGTAAAACATTAACATTAGCCTGTCGAAGTACATTAGAATGAACACGTGCTGTTTCACTAACTGTACCCCAACCAGCAACTGTTACTTGTTTACCTGCAACAACATTACTTGTTGGTAAACAAATAGGTGTTGAAGATTCAGTGAGTGGTACTGCTCGATCAAGTCGAATAATAGCAATATCATTTTCAAATGTACTTGAAGTAAATTTTTCATGAACAAATATTCGTCGTGCACGATAAAGTTCATTTGATTGTGTTAAACGAATATCATGAACACCAATACGTAGAATAAAAAATGATTCTAAACTCGGATTTGTTGATGTTAATGGAACAAAACGATCATCAATTTTTTGTTCAAGACAATGACCAGCTGTAAGAACATGTGTTGGATCTATTAATGTTCCACCACATATATGAGTTCGATTTTGCCATACACCAGTTGTACCACGATATCGAACACCTATAGATACAAGCCAAGGCCAACTTTTAGGACGTGCTTCAACACCATTAATAATTTTTGAAAGCATTGCATCTAATATACTCATAAAAAATCCTAATTCAGTACTTGATTCCGATGTAGTAGCACGTGGTGATCGACCGCATTTTAATTGTACTTGTTTTGGTTGATTACTGATTGACGGATCAATATTACTTTCTATAAACATATCTCGTATTTTATTGACTGTTGAATTTATAATTTTTGGACAACAATAACGTACACTATAATCATCACATGTTTTTCCTTGATATTTTGCAACATAATTATTTATACAAAAAATATCATATGAACGTATTATAATCATATCATTTGTTTGATTCATATCAATGCCAATTTGATTAACAGCTGATACTATACGTGGTTCAGCACATACAATCGTTGGATGTTGATTACGTATTGCAGTATGTAATTCATATTCACCTTTAGAATTTGGTGTATGAAAATTAAACCATGGTGTCCATGACCATGTATCATTTAATTCACATATTGTATCTTGTCCATTAATCGTTGTTAGAAAGAAAATGAAATATACGAATAACATTATTTCGTAGTGTATTATTCGTTTTTATTCTTTTTTTATATGTTGATGATTAAAGAAGTAAGAAACATCAAAATCATGTCTTATTGGATTAAATAAGATTGATGGGGGAGTTTGGAAGAAATATACCATAATATGAAATAAGGAAAAGGTCATTGACGTGCTACATGGGCGTATGTATGTGTGTCTCTTGATTTTAAAGGATGAGCAACATATATTGTTTGAGAGAAGGACGAACATGAATAGACATCTTCGTTTACTATACTTGTATCGTCAAACAATAATCAAAAGGCTTTCCGGTGTTGTTATTATTATTATGTTGTCTATTGAACTTTTTCTAATGTACACAAACTAATTTTTTTTGATTAATAGAATACAAATATAGATCATGTTGACAATGAGCTTTAAACAACAAAAAAAGAAAATGTTTATATTAAATATTATTACATTGAAAAGTACATTTTAAATTCTTTATTATCATAATATAAAATCAAACATATATCCAATTGTAAATGTTACAAAAACATATGAATAATTTCAAGTACATATTTTATAATCTTTGTAAATATTTTTGACAATCATTTAATAGAATATTCACATATGATTGACGTCCATTCGTTGAGTAATAGATTAATCCTTATTTGAGTGATTATATTCGAAGGTTATTTAAAAGAAAAGAGGTTCTAGTACCAAATAAGATGTCAGGAATTATATAACATTTAACAATTGTCAGTGTTCTAACTAAATTTAGAATTAAGTAAGTCAATATTCTTTTCTCCTATGAAAAATGTAATAGTTATTGCAATTTTCATATCAACTGTGTTACACGGACATACATTTAGGTCAAAATATCCTATTTCATAATAGGATAATGATTGATAATGTCGCAAATACAAAGAGATAGTCATGTTAGCATAGTTATCAAATGAATGGATGAAAACAACAACATATTCATTGCAATTTTGTTGACTAAGACTTCAATTCGTTTAATATATAATAAATCGAAAAAAAGTTTGAACTACTAATACATAAAACACGCACAAAATTAAGAGACAACACTCGATGAAAAATGATAAGTAGTCACAACATCAGTATTTGTTACTTCTGTTGGTTTGATATTTCGTCGTGATCGTTTAGCATTATAAAAAATATAAATTGATAACAGTATAAGAACAATTAGAAGTATACCAACAAGTAAACATGTATGATACCAACGAAATGGTGCACACATTTGATTATGTAATATTGTATTCCAAAATTGAAAACGTTCTTCTAAGAAATTATGTTCTATATGAGTATCATTGGCATTAAAACTAATAAATGATTTTTTTTCTTTTTCATATGCCGGCCAAAGAACTGATGTATATTCGGGTTCATTTGGATTTCCTCGAATAAGAAAAACAAAAAGATTTAGTAAAGAAAAAAACAAAAACTTTCAAAATACCTGTTTTAGCAAAATTTGTCCAATAACGAATTAATTGAAAACTAAGTTCAACTTCTTCGGATGTATAAGATATATTCATATTATATGCTATATTTGTACGAATTTTTCGACTAAAAAATGGAATACCCCATGTTAAATCAAGTTCAGCAAAATGTCCAATCATATGTGGAATACGTCGAAGGACATTATCAAGATCAAATACAGGTGGATTTGTATGATAATATACATATGTTGTTGCTTTTGTTTGTGATTCTAAACGGTGATGAAGAAAACGAACAAGATCATAATAAAACATTAGATCGCTAATTATGCAAAAAAAACATATAATATTTTATTAGATTTAACAAAAATTTCTACCTGACTAGATTAGTATAAAGACGAGCAGTTTCAGTAAGATTATGTTGATCATTAACACTTGGCATATATCTTGCTTGTATACTTTCATAATAACATAAATGATTTGGATAATTAGTCTTTAAATAATTTCTAATATATTGATTTTTTCTAAAATATGAAAATCCACGAGGTTGTTCTGTTTCAGTTATTTTTTTAATTGGACTTTGTGTTGTATTAAAATCATTCGGTTTTATTGTTGAAGGTCGTTGAGTAGTTGTTAATGATTGATGTGTACGATATTGTCTTGGTAAATAATGATTAAATATATGTTCTTCAGCAAAATACAATGCTTCATCAGCCGTTACACCAATTAATATATCAACATTCTTAAGTGGTCCTTTACGTATAAGTTCTTCTAAATCATTCGTAAGAATATCATTGTCAATAGTAGGAAATCTAATAGACAATAAAATCAATATATATATTAAGAAGAAGAAGATTTTCTATAATATTTATTTCTTACGGATAATCTGGTGATATTTCTAATCCTGAATGATACATATAACTAAAATTATTTGCTGGAGTTTGTTTTAATTGATTTATATTTGATTGCATATATTTCTTATTTGCTTTCATACCATTACGTTTAATAACATTATCAAAACGAACTGATGGTTGTCTATCAATTGCCCTAAAGAATAAGAAACATTTAGATAGATAGATATATATGACAATAGATTTCAATTTTGTTTCAAACCATTGATTTAATGGACAACCACTTTGTGCAATAACGCGAGCTATTAAACCATTAGAACGTTCTGACATGGCAAGTAAAACAGCATTTGCTGCGCCAGCTGAATGTCCAATATAAGTAATACGTTTTGGATCACCATTAAAAGATTTTGCATTAATTGATATCCATTTTAATGCTAAAATTTGATCATGTAAACCATAATTTCCTTTCATAACATCTGGGTCTGACATAACATCGAGACCTGGTGTTAAAAATCCTAAGATATTTAAACGATAATTTATTGTTATAACAATCACATCACCAATAGCAGCAACAGCACTTCCATCAAATAATGAAGCTGAACCAACTTGATTTGAACCCCCATGACAAAAGACCATAATTGCTTTTGGTAATTGAGATTTTGTTCGTGGATTAAACATATTTAATGTTAAACAATCTTCTTCATACATATCCGATAATTCAAATGGTCCATAAGAAAGTCCACCAGGTGCTTGTAAACAACCTGATGTTCGTTCAGTGGCCTGTACAACTTTTGAACTATAGTTTCGTAAAATTGAGTTTTCAAAACGTGCCGGTTTTTCACCATAAGGTATACCAAAATATTGTCGGATTGGAACATTATTAACAGTTATTTCTTTACCTTCGAATATACCTGACGTAGTATTAATACGAAGTCCATTTGAGAACGTTTGATGACACAAGAAAATTAGAATAAAACTTTCTAGTAACATCGAGGTTTCGACCATCGATGAGAAAAGATGGATAAATTCTTATTTCGCATCGATCTATAAGTAAATATAAAGAACGGCAAACAAAACATAAGATTGTTTTCTGTTTATATGAATGGTTTACATGATTACGTTAGTTAATCGATTTTTTTTCTTCTCCTCTTCTTCTTTATATTCTATCAAAGATGTCAAACAGATTTTTTCATCTGTCACTATCTTCTAACAATATACATACATGTTTAGATTTTATAATTTGTCTAATCTAATGTTGCGTAGTTAGTTTGCTTTGATTCGAACTATAATCTTAAACTAAGCAATTAGTGATATTTTAATATTCATTGAAGTTAATGACGTAGTAAGGCCATATGGTTTCTACGGACGATTAATTAACAGACGATGATGATAAAAGGATATGAAGTAAAAACATATTAACGGAGATTGACTCGATCGTACTATATCTCATTTCAAGGCACTAACTAGAAAGTTATTATTTTTGTTATTATAAAAATGAAAGCAAAAAAAAAATAGTGGTACTTCTAAGTAAGTCTTTTGTCGACGTTTATCTGTCTAATAGATGAGACAAATGATAATGATACTAAACTGTCGTCTTCTATGATTAATAAACATCTAAATGTCAAACGAAAGAACATTCGATAGATGTAAGAAATACTAATAGTCTTCTTTCTCGTTTCCTCTTCATCCAATGTCAGTAAACTGAATCATGAAACATTGATAGATTCTTCAATAATCGTTGTCGTCATTCTTGCTCGCAGATTGCTTTAGTAGGAAATCATTCAAAAACTGAGCGATCCATTTTTGCCTCTCGATTCTAAGTGGGAGAAAAAATGAAGACGAGAACAATGCTTTTTTCTAACATCTTCGATGACGTTGACAGTTATTAACTATGGCAAAACAACATAAAACAGAGAAAAAAAATATTACTTTAAAAACCTGTAAGAAACAAACGTCTTCCTTTCTATTTATAACAACATTGATAGACTACATACTTTTTAATATACTTGAATTAAATAAGAAATACATTATGTACTTATTCTTCTTCTTTTTTTTTGAAACAATGAATGAAAAAAAAAGATATGTATATTGTTTATATTATTCATTCTCTTACGCAATCGGTTAAGTGGCGCACAGCATGCAATACCTGTATAGTGAAAGTGATATACACAGGAGAAGAAGGAGAAAATGAAGAAGAAGAATAGTACATTCTTTCGTAGTTTTAACCTTTTTTTATATTTGGTCAATGATAATCGATATGTAAAAGAAATGAGAAAGATCAATTTCACAAGTTAGAGTTGATAATCGGGATTACTAATAGATAGACAAAGAAAAAAAAGAAGAAAATATAGATAGATTTCTATATCTTATCTATTTCAAGTTAAGTAGTTCTACTAAGTAAGTGTAATCTCATACAAGTGATGAATACAATTTGAAATGAAAAATGTCATTATTTATACAAAAATTTTATATCTAATCTATTTTGATCTTATACATAATTGTATGATATAATATTACATGTCAAGTTATTCTCTCGAAAATAAAATCTTTAACTCAATTTTCATTTCTATATATATATATATATATTAAGTAAATTGTTGTATGAAAAATTATAGAAGTCTCAATTACAATAGTAATATAAGAAACTACTCCTATTGCATAATCATCATACAGTATATCTTTCTATGATAATAAAGCAATTTTTATATCACTATTTCATGAGAAATTCCAATCAAGAATTATATTGTTCATATTTTATAAATGAATCCCTTCACACATCTTCTTTTTCTCAATGATTTGATTAATCTAAAAGAATAAAATCCTTGGAAAAATTCTTACATATTCATTCTGTCTAGCATCTTATATATATGTTGTTAAGTCTCTCTTGTGCGTTGTGTTATTTTATTCACTTCATGTCAGTGTTAATCTTAAAAATGACACGCAATCAAACAACTTGATCACATCGAGGAAAAATTATGTTGTCTTTTATAAATAATCAAATCATAGATAAAGAAAAAAAAAGACAGTCTATGATGATTGTCAGAACGCTGTCAGTAAATGGCGGAAGACAAGCTGTTCATTAAATGACATCCGTGAAAAAGTATATACATAATTAATTCTATTTTTAACGTCAACAGCAATCAGATTTTATTCATATAAATTCATTATATATATCTATATATATATATTGAAGTATTATGGCTATTCTATATTACCTTTGTTTTTTCCTCAAGTAGTTTTTAGTAGAATATTGTCCTTAGAGAAGTAGAAATATCCTTGAATAAATATTAATTATATATAATTATGATAGTCTCATAAATCAATCAATATGGCCCATACTTATAAAAATGAGTCTTTCATTACCATATAAACATCGACACATGTTGACGAACATTTGTTTTCATACAAAGATTAACAATCTTCGTGTTATTCTCAATTGTTTCTATGCTTATCTTATAACAAATACATTTCAATATGCTAAACAAGTCATTTTTCAATATCCTAATTCAATTTTATTAATATATCTAAAAATATATATTTCTATTCGAAGTATTGTTAGTGTTTTTTGTATATTTTTATGTTCTATTATAATTATTTATTCATTATGGTTAGAACGTATTGGCATATTGATAATTTCAATATTTTTATTAATAATTTTTCTAATAATTCGTTGTATTTTTGATCTATATGGATATAGTACTGGTTACTTTCAATATTCACTCTATTCTCCATTTGAATTAATTACAACAAATCTAACACAAATAAACATTAACGAACAAAAACAAATAATCGAAGAAATAACTGATTTTAGTATAGAGTTAATTATAAATATTATTGGTATTCTATTAACAATGTTTATAATTGTTCACATGTCGAGAAAAAAACGGCGAAAAAGACAAATGGAACTTGAAGCTTTAGGCATTGATCTTATACGACGAATGACTGTGTAAATTAATTCTCTCTTCTTACTATTGGATAGAAATAAAAATAAATACAGTATTTATGTTTAATTTCTTTTTATCATCTGGACTACAATATAGAATTCACTAAGAGATAAACTAACCGATGTGTGCCTAATAAAGTCTTTCGAAAAAAAAGATTCTTACCTACAAAACAGCAATTAGATATAAACAAACGTCGCAGAAAAAATATCTAGTTCTAACTTATTAGAATAGATATATGTCAAATTTCACTATCCAACTAATTTTCTGCTTCAATTCATATTTCATTTCTAGACGTTATTAAAATTTTCTGCTTTATAAAATGCCTCCAAAGAAAAAAATCTAATTATGCCGATCCTTTTTATATTTTATATATAGGAAAGAAACTATTTTCCGGAGCAAAAAATACTCATTTCAAGCAAATGAAATACGTCATTGATAATGTTTTTGCTGAGATTTATATTTTTATATCTATTATTAAAAGTAAAGCGGATATATGCTTAGTTTATATTTATCCGGATTATTAACAAAAACATGACCCTAGATTTGGTAATGAAATATTCTAACACAAATTTTTTTATGTCTAATATTTCAAAAAATAACTAATTACATTTATTTTATGTAATGTAATAAACGTTTCGTTTACTCTCTTAAGTACATCTTTATATAAATACAAGTAGACGGATTATCAAAAGCACTTAGAAAACATGAAAACAAAAACAGATAATTTTTTATTAAAAAATCATTTATTATGTAAAATAAAAGTTAATAAAATTATTGATAAATAAATAAAATATGTACGTTGATAATTCAATGAAGCTATTTTCTTTTCTAAATTGATTGTCTTCACAACAATACGTGCAAGTTCGTTGAGTTGAATTTGTTTTCTCGATTTCGTGACATCCTTTCTAATTTTTTGCCCTTTACATAGAAATCAATAATAAAATTTATAATATCAAATCAGATAACAATGATTTTTTATTTATAAATGTCGAACAAACATAACTAGATAAGTATATAAATAAATACAATTAGCAATGAAGTGCATGTCAACCTTCGAGACAATTTGGATAAAAATAGATTTAAATACGAAATAGTATTAAAGTATTAACAAAGAAGAATTTGATTGAAGGAAATCTCTGCATATTAAATAAATCATAGTTGAGTTATTCATAAAACTGAAAAAAGACGGATATAGTTTTGCACAAATCTCGATCTTTGTTTAAAATTAATAAATAAATCAAATTTATTTATTTAAGACAGTTATAATATCAATTCCTATTTAATAAACTTCGTTCAGCGTTAATATCTTCTATTAACTATCCACCCAGGCAGATATTATCTTTAAAAAAACGCGCAAAAACGCGTTTCTACGCAATTTTTTAGAAAGTGTTCTACTGCGTTAAAATTTTCTCTGTAGTTGCTCGTTGAAACGCGGAATTTAACGTGGTTTTACACGTTATTTTGTGAGTTTTAACGCGTTAATCATAGTAGACAAAGCGAACAGAAGTAAAAATCGTAAAAATGTGCGCTTTTTCGAATTTTATTTTCGTTAAAATTTCTGCGCGTATTTCTCCGTTTTATTTTGAGTCTTGTGTGTCTGGGCGCTAGCAATTGTTTATTGTAGTATTCAATCATATTTGAAAAATAAACAAAATTGGTATTTAGATGTTAATTCTAATCCATTTGCTTTTTCTCAAGATTGAGCAAAGCTACTACAAAAGTATATAAAGACTAAATATCATTTTTAATGGCAAATGAAGCAAACATAATGGGTTGTAATCAGATAAGTATATTGGCGGTTATAGTTAGAAAAACATGATTGATTGAAATGTGATTTAACACCGATGAACCATTCAAATGCTTGTAATAATTCTATTAAAGAATACATTACGATAAAATAAAAACAAAAACATGGATATGGTTCACGTAACCATGCCATATAACCCTTTAACTACCACCGTGCCGTAGAGGGGTACGGGTATTGATCGAAAATGACTTCGAAAGTTTTTTAAAAAGTTTCGATAAAAATATTCACAACATACAATATACATGTTAGAAATAAGGTTTCATCCATTGGCTGAGCTATGGTACCGAAAGGGATAAACTACACATAGAAAATGAACACAAACACTGTATAATAATACAATTATAATCCAAAGGTAATTAAGTGAATGAATGCTAGAATAAATTATAGATTTCTTGTTGTCTTATTTTCAACATCTTCTATTATGACAAGTATACATCTCTTGACAATATGTAAGTATTGTGAAGTGTAGTAAATAATACAATAAATTATTACAAGTAGATTCGATTTATGACTTAAGTATAGATTCTATTCATGCTCGATATTAATTTTGTTACAGACAATTGAAGTCAGTATAAAAGAAATATAATAGCATCTTAGATTATATATACGTCGATATTATTAGTCATTAGGATATAAAATGTTAGATTTTATTCCTTCAATTTTATTTTGAATAAAATAATATTTAATACCGATTAAATAGTTTATGCCAAAAGAAAAAGAAAGAAACAAAATGTGACAGATGAATTGATACGACAGACGACAACATTACAAGAAAAAGAAAAGAACTCTCCATCGACAAAGCATAATCTAATTCGATTAATTTTTTTCGAAACGAACAACATCGAAAAAAAACGTACTACTACATAGTGAGATTGAATGAAAAATGAGTCACACTTATAGAAATAAACAAAAAAAAACCGAACGTCTTTCTCTCACGCACATTTTCAAAGCGTTAATGTTGCACTTTATCTGACAAGAGAGACTTTATATAAACTCTCTTTTTCCGATCAAGCCATCAAATTAAAAAACAAAAAGAAAAAAAAGTAATAATCAATGCCCCCCTTTTTCTCTAACTACAAAAGGAAAAATTACTCGATATACAGAAAAAAAACAGAAGGATGATAATATGAGAAGCACTACACAGCAAACAGACGACATAGACTAATTTTACATTAAAAAAAAGAAAGAAAAAGAAGAATAATCAAACACCACTTGCTGCTTATTTTTCAATACTCTTGGCTTTGCCATTACCATTATTATTATTATTATTATTTGACACATTCGTTGGTTTTCCTGGTTGTCTAGGTTCTTCATTATTAACTCTTGATCGACGACCTGAACCTACTCCTGATGGAAAATAAAAGAAATCATATTAAAATATGAAAGACAAAATTTTCCCCCATTGTGTAGACACCGGAAGATAGTAAGTCCTATATTCCAATATCTAGCTAAAAGAAAAGTCTTATAATTATATGTATATATACATTCAGCACATTCTTTTTTGTTTTATTCTTTGTTTCGGAAGACGAATAAAAAATGTTAAACATACACAAATACTGTTTTTTTGAAATAGAAATGTTGTCTATACAATTTACAAGATTTAGATTTAATCGGATATATATATATATATATTTTAAATCGTTCTTTAGCGATGATCCACACCGAAATTTTTCTTTTTTCTTTTTAAAAGATATGAAAAAGAAAATGAGATTATTGATGATGAGATTGTGGTTGTTGCTGCTGTTGACAGCCTACAATCATAAAATAAAACACAACATGAGTAAAGCTATATGTCGCAATGAACATTCGAAAAAATGTTTTGCCGATACATGAGCGATACTCAGTAATGTGTTATGCACAAACTAAATAGAATAAAACTAATTACACACCACCAGAATCTAGATGATTAACAAATGCTTGTAATAATTCATCTTCAATCCAAATACGACTATTCAGTACATTGAGTAAATCAGCAGGAATTATTGTTAATTCACTTGGTGTACCAGCACGACTAGTTGATGGTGATAAAAATGGACTAAGAGCAGGACTTAATGCCGCAAATGCCTAAAGAAAAAACATAAAAGAATTATTCAAATAAATACAATAAGTTTTAGGGTAGGTTGATAAAGTATCGAAATGAATGATTGTTCCACTTTAGACACATTACGGCGATTCCAAAAATTACCCGGAATCGGACTTAAAATGCGGTTCTGGTCAGTGGAAATGAGATAAGAGTGGTTCCGGTTCCATTTTTTTGGAGCTGCCGTACCCTACATTACGGTCTACTTAACCGAGTTTATGATCTTATATTAAGATTCACTATTTTGTTTGAGTTTGTATGTGAATGTTATTTAATTAACTCTAGTATATCCTCGTTTCGCAGACGTATCATTCGGCTTTTATAACAACGTCGTTGGAATTCAAATAAGTCCAATAGTACCTTATGTAAAGCCATTAGAATTCCTAGAATTGCATCTCGTTAGAAGTCTGTTCAATATCTAATATGAGTAAATTTGTAATGGGTTCTATCATTTAGACTCTGTTGACTTAATGAATCTATACATATGTGTTTTTAATTATTCTATGAAATAATACCTGTCCAAGTGGACTTTGAAAAATTCGATTGCCGGGTGTATAAAGAACACCTAAAAAGAAATAGAATAATTTAGAATAAAATATTTTTACAATAAAAATCAAACCATTATTTGATGAACTCATTGGTCCAGTTGGTGTAGCTGTATGCGATGACGACGATGATGATGATGTATGACGTACAAAACCATCATTCGTTGCTAGCATAGGTACTGGACGTGGAATGAGATTTTGTGCTGAACCAATTGATTGTGAAAATTGTACAACTTTCGTTGGACTTAAACCACTTTTGTTTGGATCAGGTGGTGAACACTAAATATATAGATATATATACATATTTTAATATACAATAAAAACTGATTTACATCTTGTGATTCAGGTGGTGAACCATTAATTGATGTTGATGAATCAAATTTTAATGTTTGATGATGACTTTGTTGTATATGTACAGATGTTTTATCTTTTCCTGTTGTTGATATCCATGCTGCTGGACTTAATAATCGTGTTGAATTTGTATTTCCATTTGTTGTACCTTGTGGTGTTTCTAAACCAGTTTGTGATTCACTTGAATGTGATTGTCCACTTGAATTTCTTGAACGTTGTTGTCGACTAACTTGTTCAATTTGTTTTTGTAATTGTGTACTTCGTGTACGTTCTTGTTCATATAACATTAATAATAAATCACATATATTACGTGAATCTTGACTTGATATTGTCGAATTATTTTTTGTTTTATTAATACTATTTGTTAATGTTATATGATGATTATTATTTGAAGAATTATTAGCTGATGTTGATGAAGATGATGATATTGAAGATATATTACTATCATTACTATTACTAGCTGAACCACTTTCCAAAACAATTGATTTTGTTGTTGCATCATTGATTGTTTGTGCTGTTGCTGTTTTACGTGATTTTGTTGAACGACCAGTTGATGCCATATTCATATATTCTTCAACTTCACGATCATGTAAATGACCATCATCATGAATAAGATCACCTTTAACCATAGTTGAAACTTTATCAGCAGAAGGTATATGATGATAAACAGTTGTAGATGATGTTGATGAAGATTGAGGAGGTGGTGGTGGTGGAGGTGGAAGAAGTGTTTGACGGGTTACTTGTTGAACAATTGGTTGATCTTTATTTGATACTGATAAAAGATTAGCAATATCAGAAACAATAGGTGGTTTTGATGGAGAACGACGTTGTTGTTGCAGTTGAGAGGTTAAGCCTGATGGACGTGATAAAATATTTGAATGACGAATAGATGATGTGCTTGATGCATATTCAAGTAATTTTTCTGTAAGAACATTAGGTGGAACACTTATTGAACCTAAAATAACAAAAATATATATTTAGATTTGTGTTTTTCTTTTGATAAAAATTTATTACTTGTTCGATTACATTTTCCATCATCATTTCGTGAACCTCTATTATTATCATTATTAGATAACATAACAATTTGTGGTTGTTGTGGTGTTTGAGAAATATTAACTGTATTCGAACGATTTTGATATTGTTGTTGTTGTTCATTTGTTGATAATCGTTGTTGAATAGGATCAATATTTCTTGCTTGTTGTTGAACATCTGATGTTGTTGTTGTCGTTGTTGTTGTTGTTGTTGTATTTGATGCTGGTACTAATTCAACATCTAAGCCAATAGTTTGTAAATAACTTTTTAATTCTGAAAATGTATGAAATGCTGGTAAAACTCGATCAGCTGCTGATGTTAAACGTATAGCATTATTTGAATTTGTTTTCTCATCTGTTTGAGGTTGTATAAAAGATGTATTATAACTTGTTGTTGTTAATGAACTTGTTATAGGTCTTTCTCGTGCAGATAAAATATTTATTGCTGATGTTGTTACGGGTTTAGAAAAAACTTTATTTGAAATTTTTGAATTATTAGATATTGATTCTGTCGATGGTTCTTGATGAAAATATTCAATCGTATGTGGATGAGAAGATGCACGTTGCTGTTGTTGCTGTTGTTGTTGCTGCTGCTGTTGTTGAGTATCATTAAAACGTTGAACAAGTGTTTCAATCAAACGTTCGGAAATAATTTTTTGATCCGATGATTTTTGAGTTGTTGATGATGATGATGTTAAAGTTTTTATTTGTGGTTGTTGTTGTTGTTGCTGCTGCTGCTGTTGCTGCTGGTTGGTAAAATGTAGATTTAGTGATACATGATTATGAATACCAATTTGAGAAAATGGTGGACGTGGTGTAACGGGTTCGATTTTATTTGGTTCTATAATTGATTTTGGTGCAATATTAATATCATCTTGTTGTTGTTGATAAGTTGAATAAGTATTGGAATCATTGGTAGATGTTATATGACATGTTGATGGAGGTTCATTACCAGCCGATGACGCAATTTTCGATTCATATACATCATAAGCTGATGCTAATCATTTTTTAAAACAAAATTATTAAGAATTCAAAAGAAGAAATGAAAATATATTTTACCTTGTCCATCATTAAGATCATGACTATCACCTTCATCAGTAGAACATGTATTATTTAATGTACGACGACGTTTAGCTATACGTGGACTATCTGATGAACTTGTTTTTCTATACAAAATACAATAATATATACATATGAAATTTAAAATAGTTTGTTTTTCATACCTGCTTCGACACATTTTCAATAGATCAGGTTGTTGAGTGACTGAACTTGGTTGTGCATCTGCATAATCATCAGTTTCCATTTTTAACATTGAACCAAGATAATCCGCTCCTAGTACTTCTTTTGTTGAACCACCTTCACTGATCGAATCTAAATAAATTTCGTTTTCGTAAAACTCAGTCATATTTCTATTTGTATAGATAACTAGCAATAGTATTGTTTCTATATACAGAACTAATCACGGCTTCAATGCCATTCTCTCTAATCTATTTGTTCTTATCAATACATACTAGTTGCCATGTGTTGTAATTCACTGGTAGAGAATACACTTGGAATGATATTTGCCGGTGACGATTCTATTAAATAATTAAAAACAATCTATTGTTTTTTCATTCTCTACTCTCTAACTTACGTGCATTATTTATAAAATTTACAAGATAAACTTCAAGCTCTTTTACACGTATAACAATATGATATGGATTAATACATAATGCAGGATTTTTACATTCTTTACATTTACTTAATCGTTCACCATCTGTACTTTCCAATGGGATTCCTATTTTTCAAAAAAAAATTAAAAACATAATTTAAAACAAAAAATCTCCTACCCCGAAATAATACAACCATAACAACATCTAATCGCCAAACTTTATCAGCTTGACGTAAACAATCAATACGACGCATCTTATTTTTTGTATCCGCATTTGATATAATACATGGACTTTGAATATTTCCTTCCGTTATAGTTTTAACAAGATCTCCCCGACATTCCCGTTTTATATCTTTTCGTAATTTTGCTAATATACGAACTGTCCATTTTATTTTATCTGCATACCGTTGATTCTATAAAAAAATATTTTATTTATTTGTTTATATTTTTTTTCTGTAACAAACCATAAAATCTTCTTTCATCACTCGTTCCATCTCGATAGGCATCGGTGTTTCATGTTGTTTTTGATAGCGACGTTTAGCTGCTTGTAAATTAAACCATGTAAATGAAAATGCTTTAACAAATGGTATTAATGCTTCGATACATTCTGAACCTTCGAGCTAAATTATTTTTTGAAGAATAAATTTTTTTTACTCGAAAAAAACTTTTTTTGCTTACATGAGACATGAATGATGAAAGTTTTATGAAACTGATGAATTAATTAAAAAAAAACTTTTTTATTTATTGTTTACATTGAATCTATTAATGAGAAAATAAAATCAGTTTATTTGCTTTGTTATTATAGAAAAAGGTTACAAACGAGTGATAGATAATGAAGATATACATCTAGAAATATAAATTTATGAATAGTTTAAATGATTTTTTATTAGGAAAGTATTCAATGATTATCATCTTACAAATAATCAATAAGAAAAACATGTAAACGAGAAACAAAAGAAGGCAATGAATAGGGCTCGTTTTTTCTTTTATATCTACTTGCGTTCGATAGTTTATCAATGGTCGAGTTTTTAAACACATCTATGCACTATACAACGATCTGTCAAAATGACATTGAAATAATTGATATGTGCTGACAACTAGATACATTAAATAGCAATATTCGTAAAGGAACGAAAGGAAACAGAATGGCTCGAATCGAACCAATAGAAGACAACGTCGGTCACTTACTTAATCATTAATTGATAGAAATAATGTGTTGCAAATGATAGAAAGATTGAATTTATTTATGAATGCAATAAATGAGTTTTTTTTCATACTGTACAGATGTTTATTGCCTTAATAAACTTACGATTTATTATTTTTTAAATAAAGAAATTCTTCACTCGATTCGAAAGAAATATATATGCTAATTTGAAATTCATGTCTATAGAATAAATTTTCAATTATAGAACAATACATCTTAAAGATGACCTAGATGGTTACAGAAGTATTATGCAAAAAATTTACTTCTCTTAATAACTGATTAATCATCATTGTAAGACGAGCAGGAATAATATTTAAAGAATCGTCAATTGTATAAATTATGAAATAAATATTTTTAATCTTGGTTGGAAAAATCTATCTGATGAATAATGTCTCTCTTTGAAATAAGATAAGATTATTGCTATGTCATAAACTTTTTTATTATGAAATAAATCATTGAAGGTGTGCTGTGTATGTTCTTTTATCTCAACTTCAAAAATTAGAACTAAATGTTATATTTGCCTACAGCATTTTTTAGATTGCGTAATTGTGTACCGAACATAAACACATGCTTTTTGCTTGAGACGTATTTCTACCTGAGAAGTCATAGGCATGATTCATGTCTATTTGGGAAAGATTTTTCAGTTTTGCTATAGGAAGAAGGTTGTACCAAGAATTATTTGTGCGTCATTGAGTTAATAAAAGCATCAGATAAACGACGAGCATATCAATAGAGTGGGTTTTTTCTCAGTCACTTAAACTTTATTTTAGTTATATAATAAAAATGATAATCTAATAAATTCTGTAGGAATAATTCTTGCAAAGATAACGTTAAGTGATATACTACGAATAATAATGAGAAGTGAATATTTTACAATAATAAAATAAAACGACAAAACATTTCATTTCTGAAGATGTTATGTGGGAGTGGCTTAAAAAATAAAAAGGGCTGTTTGCTGTTTATCAAATATCAACAAACAGAATGTAATGCAATAAGGTTGCTAGGTACTATTGACGATTTATTGTTATCTGAAAAAAGTATTTACTGATATTGGTTGGCGTCGAACAAAAAAGTTTATAGATACTTCGATCAATGGTGATATCGTTAGAGTTTCAAGTTCGACAAAACAATTGAAAAGATGAAGAAGTCTAAAGGTGGTTGGTCTGATTTCAAATATACAATAGTTACTCATTACCTTTTCAAATATATTCTGACAAGTAGAGAACGATTACATCGATACAATGAGTTTTATTTTAGTATGTGCTTGACTTTGAAACGTTTCAAGAAATTCGAAAGAATAGTAAAACTTTCAAAGAGTCTGTATTAGAAATAGTGTTCTTCGGGAACAGTCTCTTTTGTTTTTCATTCTCGTTCTTATGGCAGCGGGTATGTAAAATTTCGCGCAGGAAATCATTTTCAAAGGATACAAATTGGTGCGCCTGTCACATTACTCATTACTTTATTACTTCTAATAAAGTAATCAGAACAATAAAGTAATGAATAATAAGTAACGTAACAGCCCTACTAAGTATATGAATCAGTTCTCTTGTTTTCTTTATAAAAGCGTCCACATCTTTTTAGCAAAGGTATGAGTATAACTATTTTCTTCTAGATTATTGAAATACATATGGACATGAAGCACGTTCAACAATGGGCAATTATCATGATTGCTTTCTCCAGTAAGTCTTTTTTTTTGGACTTCGATGTTGTCAATTATTACTTATAAAATTTTCTTAAGGTTATTGTATGCATTTGACTGGTTCTCAACCTGCGCCTGGTGTGTGTTATATACATGGTGATCGTCATTTGATTCCGTTTGCTAAACGACCCGGTGAAGATAGTGCACAATATCGATGTGAATACAATGGTGATCAAACAATTCTTTCAAATCGATATGTGCAAGGAACAATTAGTGTCAGAACCAGCCCATCATGGAATGAGGATGTAATATTAGTTTTTTTCAATCGTAAAGAAAAAATAATATTAAATGCTTTATTTTTATTCTAGTTTTGATTCGAATTCTATGGAAAAAATGGAGAACTAATTTGTATTGTTACTTCACAAAATTATGATTGTGATGATACATCCGAACGTATGTCGTACTTATGAAATTGATATTATTGCTTACGATGTTTTTTAATTTTTGTTTCCATCAGGTATTAAAATTAAGCGTTCATTCAGTTCACTCGATATTTATTATCGATATTCATCAACACGAGATCTTCGAATTGTAATCAATACTTATGTAAGTATGATAGTATTGTTGTAACCATTTCTACTTATCACTATTTACTAGGACATCGCTGCCGGTGGATCTGCTTATGATATTCAAATCATGCAATTAAATTCATTGATCCGTCGTTCATCTGGCTTATGTACAACATATAATGATACGTGTTCTTTAGAGAACAGTGTACACGGTAGTAAAAGACGAACTTTTACTGCAACTCCAGCTGCATACGTGTGTGGTGGGTTTTTAAATGAAGTATACAATAAAAGCAAAGAGTTTAACATTCCAATTTCACAAATATCTGCCAGCCATGCTAAAGCTGCTTGTATCAAAGACTTAAGAATACATAATAATATTGCAGTAAGTGACTTCGAAACAGTAAATATATCTATATCTATATTTTTCTGTTTATAGTTTGCTAAAAGTACAATTGCATTTCTTCTTTATGATAGTCTCTATCGAAAGACAAAAAACAATGTTTTATATGGAAAACAATCTTATGAAATCTTTCAAGCTATTCAACAAGCAACTGATAATGCATATCAAGAAGCAATGATTATTCTTCCAAATCCTACAACAGATCTTTCATAAATATACATTGAATAGTAATTTTTCACTCGCATTTTTATGTATTCCTGATTATTGTCATTTATTTCATTTTTTCTATTTTTTAAATTCAATTACCTGTTTAAGTAAGAGTATGAGAGCAGATCTTGTATGAGAATTGATAAGCTGATCATTCCATTTAAAACTGTACAAATAAAATTTTATTCCAATAAAAAGTTCTTATTTTCAAACACGTGTCCTCAATGTTATGATGTAGTTTTTCACTCATAATAAAATTTTATCTATCTTTGACATGCATGCTTTTTGCATAACACTGTTCTTTCTTAATAACTTCTACTACAACATCGAGATACTCAAATTCCTTTTTGATATAACTCTTTATTTTCTATTCATTGTGTATCATAACTCCATAAAACTGTAGATAAGAAAGAATGAAATAGTTTATTACATCGGATACGAAGACATCATGCAATGAAATCGTTTTTGCTATAATAAAAGAGTATTAAAAATCCGTTTTGTTGATGACTTTTTTCAATAGATAAAATTTTTCTTAGTTTAATAAGACAGTATATTTATATAATGAAATAAACTTAAACTAAATTATGCTTATTTTAAAAGAAACTTTTATTCACACAAAAATGTTTCAGTGTATATGTTTTCTTTTAGTTTTTCGTCCTTCAATTTTTTTGAAGAAAAAAAATGTTACTACCTACTTGTTTATGTCTTTACGCTATATCAACAAAGGTAAATCGGAATTATGTCTGCATCAAATTAGTGAATTTAAAAAGATTTTGTATAATGAATGAAAAGAGAAAAAAATAATATAAGTTCCATCGCTCAAGAAATGCCTATTGCTTGATTCTAAGTTGTTTAAATAGTAGATCACTAACTGATATGATCAAGTTAAATTATGCATGGAAAAAATGTTATTAATGATATCATTTCAATAGAATTTAAATAATGAATATTAGGGTTAAATCAAAAGACAAATATTATTTGAGTCCTATCCTTTTTTATATTTTATTCTTGTTTATTTAATTATGACAAAAAAAATAGATTTTTCGAAACATAGAAAAAAGATTTTCTTATGATAATTTGTTGATACGTTCTTGAATTAATGATTTTTTAATTTGTTCTTTGTTACGTATATACTTTTTTTCTTCATATGGTTCTTTTACTGTAATTAATTCTTGTTTAAAATCGGTAACATTTTTCATAACTTTTTTAACTTCCTGGTGTGGAACGATAATTTTATTTTTGTATTCTGGTCTTGTGATGAAAGTCTGTTCAAGGGTTGCAGTTACTCTCATATGGAAGTCCCAGCTAACAACTGGAGAACCTCCCCACGAAAAATATGCAAAAATTTTTACCCGACGTTGATCTTCTGGATCTATGGTGTAATTCAACCGATCAAGAAGATGAATATCATCAGGAGTTTTGTCGAATGTGATATTTGTAACTTTATGGTCAAATTGTAGCTCTTTAGTTCGTGTGAAATATTGTCTACCAGTCATTTCCGCAGCAATAAAGGTAGTGCCTGCTATGCCGCCAAGTGCGCCACAGATATTCAGGAAAGTTTCTTCAGCATCTTCCAGATCAGAACCCGCGACATGTCCCTTGAAATGCACCGATTTTTCAGCAGTTAATGTTCGTTTCTGAGTTTCAGCCGGTACAGTAACATATTCTACTCGATCACAATTAATTACGATGTTCTCTTCTACTTGTCGATCAATTTTGAACTCTTTTAATTCTTGTTTTGCATCATGTTTTACTATTATAATATTATCAAGTGAATCATAAAGTTCTTGCACTTCTAAATTAATTTCATCTTCTACTTCTTGTAATACTGTTTTTAAATTAAATCCTTTAAGTTGTTCAATAGCATTTAACAATTTCTCTTCTTGATTTGGTAATGGTTTTTCATTTGACCATTCAATAATTTGTATTGCAGGCCATCCATGATTAGCTACAAGTTCTAACAAATTTTTTCGAATATTTTCAATTTTCTTTTCCTTTTTTTCTAATATTAATTCATCACCTTTTGTTAATATAACAATTGCATTAGATTCAACTTGATCTTTTTGAAATAATTCAGCTAAAAATTGAGAAAATCGTTGATACAAATTAGTTCTTACATCCAATATACTAATAACAAATATAATAGATTTTATCATTGTTATATCACTTTCCATAAAATATAATTTCATCGTTTCAAATATTTTAGCTTGATTCTGTTCTGGTCGGCTATCATTATAACCCTGCATATCCAAAAAATATTTTTCATAAAAGGTTGAATTTTTACGTTCTACACGAACTAATTTACAGTTTTGTGTTACAGAACTTTCAGCATCACCAGCTTCACACTTTATTTCACCACATAGATAATTAATTGTTGAACTTTTGCCACTTCCACTAACACCGAAAAGAAGATTAGCTCCTTTACAAATGTTTGTTTGTGATACTGATGGCATCTAAAAAGGAAAAAATAAATATTATCGAGAATAGATTTACTTAAATCAGCAGTGGACAAGTTCTCAATCGGTAAGAGAAATGTCATTCCATATAAAAATGATTTTTCTTTTCTTTTCTTTCTATTTATATATAACTACCGGAGACATATGTGTATAAACGAAATCTAGAGAAAAGGAAAAAACCGATATAATATATAGGAAATAACCATAGTAGATATGTCATTGTTTGTATGGGAAAATATCAGTAAGCGATGTGCTTATTATATTGAATTAATCCATACTATCATTGAGGTTAATCTCAGTAACACTGATTTAAAGTGCTAGATAAATACTATTATATTATTAAAAGTCTATTATATTTATTATTTTCTTCTGATTCATTATTTTTGACAAATAAATAATTCTTAAAAATTTTCTCATTCATTTGATGATGATGATGACTTAAATTTTCTTTCATCATAAAAGTAGTTTTATTTAATTCTGTATCCTATTTTATTTTAAAATAAAATTCACAATATAATCGAACCGATTCTTGATTTGATCTCGATTCATCGTTTATGTTTTCTAACAGCACCACTATGATGGCATTCATACATTACATTTTGATATTGAAAATAATCCAAATATTCACTGGCTAATAGATTTAAGTATAATAGCATAATAGAGTATTTTTGTAACAAACGTTTAGAACGAGTATGATAGATGTTTTAATGATATAGGCACATTCATAATATTGTGACTTTTTATTTAGGATAACCTCTATATAAATTTCCACCGGAAAACTAAATCTTTTTCTATTATTTCTAAACTTCAATAATCAAAATAACGCTTAATACAATAAAATATGGAATATATTCATCATTTGATCGTTTCTTTTATTTTGCTTGATTATTTAATTCACTCAATTTCACACATTTTTATTTTCATACATTTCTTTATTGATTTGTCTTTTTCAATTTACATATGAAATAACAATAAATTTGATCGATCTCTCTCTCTAGTGATTTGGAAAAATTAGTTAACCAAGCATAGCCGATATAGAAATGTGTAATCAAATTAATTTTTGCCATTGATAGTTGATGGATGCATGAGAATATTCACTTGAATACATACTGTCATGTCGTACAATACAATAAAAACAAAATTTTCGGCTTATTCGTTCATCTTTGATTTCTTTTTTTTTTTTATAGATACCATCAATCAAAACAAAAAAAGGCACAATAATAACAACACAGATTAAACACAGTACTATCTGTATATATATATAATGAATTCACTTGATAGCATATTAACTATAAAATGAAAAAAAACGAAAAATATATAAGTGAATTCAATATCATAATAACATACTTCAATGTTTTCCTTTTTTTATCTTTCATACGACGATTTTGAAACCAAATCTAAGTAATATACATAAAACAACTGTATTTTAATTGATTTAAAATAAAATTTACTTTGACTTGATTTTCACTTAATTGTAAGGTTGCAGCAATTTCAACACGTCTTACACGTGTTAAATAACGACTAAAATAAAATTCTTTTTCAAGTTCCTAAATTAAAAATATATATTTTTCTATTAAAAAAATAATAAACATTAAATTCATACTGTCAATTGTTTATTGGAATAATTCATTCGACCTGTTGTATTATTTAGTGACCAATCTCTTGATGTACGATATATATAATCTGTCGATTTACCTTCAAATAAACATATGTGTATAAGATGATCTTATATTACATCATCGTCAAAGATATGAATCAAAGAAAACATCAAATGAACTGATGATAGATATTTTTGTTTAATTATTTTTATTGAATGAGATACCAACATATGCATCTGTCCTCTCTGAAAACTTGGTAAATTATATTTTTTAATTTGTCAGTTTTTCAAATGGCTTATCATAACAATTTCTCAGCAGTATATTCAAACTCATCAATCATCTATCGTGACAAGGTGATTGGTAGAAAAAAAAACTTCATCATTCATTTTTTGGATACGTGTGTATGTTTATTCATTATTCTTCTTGTTTCGATCTGATATGGAATAGATTTCAGGATAAATGCTAGTATAATTAATTTAGTACCTGATATTTTAGGTGGTGCACGTTTTATTTCCATCCATTTATATTTCAATTCATTTACAAGTGGTTTTTCGTCGATTGATAAATGTTCGATAATTTGTGATTGAGTATTATTTAATGAAAAATTACTATGAGATTGTGAATTATTGAAATCATAATAGCCTTGATCGAATGATTCAATTGGATGATAAATCGATTCAGCTTGTGGTGTGTAGATTTCATAAGAATTTTCCGATAAAGATTGTGGTATTGATGTATAGATATAGTTTTCATCCAGTAAATTATAATTCGTTGGTGATGTTTGGGAAACAATTGGATTTGTCAATGTATCATGATGATGAAAAGAATTTTGATGAGATGGATAAGTTGTATATGTTTGACAATGTTCGTATTGATTCAACATGATAGATGGGAATGGAAATTAATGTATTCGTTGTCGTATTCAACTTGATCAATTTTCAAGAAATTGTGATTTGTTCATCGTTCTTCTCTTCCTCTCTTTTTCCTGCTGTCTTGTTGGCTAACAATGTATATTGTAGAAAAGGAAAAATTCTCATTGATTCACAATAGTTTAGAGCAATGACGAATAAGAATGGTTAGCTATATGAGTACTTGTTTGATCTATTAGATAGTGTTATTTTAGTTATATGAATGGGCATGCATGTCAATACATAAGGGAATTAAACTCTTTTTTATTTTTATATTCTGTCAGTTAAATACTCATCACTTGTTTTGCAATGATTTGTGGAAGAGAAAGTGAAAACAAATCATCTATGATTTGATTTCTTTCTCTTATGTTTTGCATGAGTCTTGTGGAATTAGATGAACTCTGACTATCAAAGTCAATACTATACATATGATGGTGAACAATGAATCGATCGATCATTTTATTGATGACGTGCTGATACCCTTTGTACATACAAATAGATAAACATCTTTAATTTCTTCTACTGAAAAGAGGATTATGTGCCAAGTAAATGTTCGTTCATGTGCACATTCATTAGTCCACTAGTTTATAGCGAGTGGAAATGGGCATAGATATGGATGAAACTTTACTCATAGTTGTCTATCAACTTATAAAATAATCATATAATATTTCGATTCCTCAAATAGAAAGAGGGTCATGCACTGAACAGTCACTGTTTGATCGTTGATCATTGTGCCAGAAATTATAAATATTTATACGCCGTTTTTAATATTAAGTTTAAATTGAGAATCATAGAGAATGTTGAATTCAAATTATAGGTCCGTTCTGTATTATTAATTAATGATTTTTTTTACAGATTTGTTATTAATATAGTTTTTGTATAATGGTTGGATATGGTATTAATTCAATATATGAATAACTTAAATATGTTTGGGAGAACTAAATATCTTATTGAATAGCATTGGAAGCATGTGAAGATGGGATGAAGTTTTGCAATTCGATAGTATTATTTTGGAGGTAATTCTTAGAACTAAGTCATCGAGATTAAACGAAACAGTTTATTTGCTAATGTAAACTCGAATTAATTTCGATTCGAGCATCACAAGTATTGAGTGAATCTTGCAGTTCGAATACTCCGTTCGTACACATTTTGACTTAGTGTTGAATTTGGTGAAGTTTTGTCATTTAAGTAAATATTATTAGAGGATTTATTGTATGCAAGTTATCGGAATATGCCTTCTGCACCATTAGAAAGTCTGAGTTTAGTTGCAATGTTTTTCCTGAGTAAAATCAGCATGCTAGACATGAAAGGTAAATATTCTAGTGTAGATGTTTCACCTTATAATTCGGCAACTCAAGAATTGCCAATGATTTTTTTCTTCGATATAGTTTTGATCAGTAGATAAAACTAGTTGAAGTTATAAGAGACGTCTAAATGTTACACGACATACTCGTGCAAAGAGCCTATTACGAACACACTTGTAAAGATATAGACTTTTTAATAATCTTTTTCACAACACTCAAGTCATAGTTCATATCGTATTTGTCGCTTTAATATTCATGAATTTTTCGAAATATATATTTTTGACAAGAAGAAATTGTTTTCTTTTTAATACAAACTGAGTATTGAACTGAAGTAAATCGAATCAGAATTGCAATTCTTTTGTTTATTTTGATCTTTTCTGCACAGTGTATGAAAAAATACTAGAAAAAAGATTATTTTTCGATCGACTTTCGGTGGAGAGCTTAGCGGCCTTTGTGCCGTGTTAATTATGGACTAATGCTAGAGAATATGTGGTAAAGAAGAAGATGAGTTAGACATTAATACGAGAAAGTAAATTAAGCATAGTTTTCAATTATGTACCAACAGGCTTGAAAATCAATTTATAATTTCAAAAAATATTATTGATGAAATATGAAACTTAGAGATTTGAAAATTGGTTTTGTTAATCTTCAAAAAACAATTAATCTATGTTTTTAATGTATCAAAAAAAGAATCGCAGAAAAAAAATGAGTGGGCTATGATTTCATCAATAAATAATATATCTATTTTATGATAGTAAAACTCATATGAATAATACTATATTCAATCGGATACATGAATATGTGCCTGTGACATCTTACTAATAAATAAAAGCATTTAAATATCGATATTTTCGAACATGACTTTGATGTTGCTAAAGAAAAAATAATTGATAGTTTTTTTTTTCTATATTTTGATAAGCTTTGGCATCTTAAGTGTTATGATGATACGTTACTACTGTTATAAATAGCAGTGTCTTTTTGAAAAATAAATTTGATAACATTCTCAAATGCACTACCCATTTTCTTTTTTCGTTTTGACGATTTTATCGACATTTACAATCGTAAATGGACAAAGTAAATAAATTAAGAATGAAATTTATTGAAAGACATTTTATTTCATTAAAGTTTGTACGCCGGATCCATGTGCTAATGGAGGTCAATGTGTGCCGATTAATGCGGGCACTGATTATTATTGTGACTGTCTACCAGGTCTTCCATTAGGTGGAAAAAATTGTGATGTATTAATCACAACTACAAGTTAGTTATAAACTTTTCACTATCATCTTACAAATTTATTTTTATCATAATAGCAACGACAACGATGCCTACACCATGCTCATCAGGTCCATGTGAAAATGGTGGTGCATGTACTGATATAGCATCCATTACATACGTTTGTACATGTGGTGCATATACATATGGACCCCGATGCGAAAGTATATAAACACAAAGAAATACATAATTTGATGTTAAAAATAAAATCTTTCTAGGCATAAATCGATGTGCCACTCAACCACCAATTTGTCAAAATGGTGGTACGTGTAATCCTGGTTTAAATGGAATTTTTTCTTGTCAATGCACTCCTGGATACACTGGAAATTTTTGTGACAAATCAACTCAAACAATATGTACGTAATTTTCAATTGAGAATTATTCTATTATCTATTTTTTTTCTAGCTATTTGTGCAGGAGGACCATGTCAACATGGTGGTACATGTTTAGCATTGAATTCAAATACAATTATTTATTGTCAATGTCCACCTGGATATACAGGCTCAAGATGTGGTATGTTTCTAAACACTTTATTAACGATACATAATACTTTTCATTTATATGTATATTAAAGAGACTTACAATGCATGTTATAGTGCGCCATGCCTAAATGGTGGTACTTGTACTCCGACTGGTAATACATATCAATGTTCATGCCCTGGTGCATTCTATGGAAATCAATGTCAACTTTCTAATAGTAATACAAGCAAAAAAATTGAACTAAATATTTATTTATTTATATTTTTTAAATAGCAAATGTTTGTATACCATCACCATGTAAAAGTGGTGGCACGTAAGATCTAATTTTTGTTTAAATGTAAACATATGATTTATTTATTTATTTATATATTTAGTTGTTCAGTCGTTAACAATGCAGCATTTTGTACGTGTCCATCACAATTTACAGGTGCAAATTGTGAACTAACAATATGTAAAGAATTTGAAGACATATATTTCATAATTTAATATCTATTTATAGTCAATATTGCTTGTATCGTAAATCCAAATATGTGCAAAAATGGCGGAACGTATGATTGAAAATTTTATTTATTTACATCGATATTGGACTTTAAATATAATTTTCTTTTTTCTTAGATGTCAACCAGTTGGTGCAGAATCATGGAATTGTCAATGTACAGCTGGATTCACCGGTCTAAATTGCGAAACACCTCTGACAAGTAAAATCGTACATATATATATATATATCATTCTTTTGATTACAAATTATATATAGCTAATACTTGTTTACCAAGCAATCCACAATGTTTTAATGGTGGAACGTGAGTTTGTTAATAAAAAATATTGATGAATTCACAACAAAGAAATTTCTTTTTTAAGTTGTGTCTTACTTGGAAATATATATAGATGTACTTGTCCTAGTGGTTTCACAGGTCAATATTGCGAGACTGCCGTAGCAACAACTTCTGGTATAATTAATTAAAACAAAATAATATAGTTCATAAATTTTTCTATCGAATTTTTAAGTTTGCCAACTTAACCCATGTAGCAATGGCGGAACGTATGATTGTTTTATTCCCATCAATATTGATAATTAAATATGATTTTGTTTTTCCTTAGGTGTGTACCAACTGGTACAAATTCAAGAATTTGTTCATGTCCAGCTGGATTCACCGGAGTAAATTGCGAAACATCTATTACAAGTAAAATCATTCATATATATATATATCATTCTTCTGATTAAAAACTATATATAGCTAATACTTGTTTACAAGGCAATACATGTTTGAATAGTGGAGCGTAAGTTTTATTAATAAAAAATATTGATGAACTTACCAAAACGAAATTTTCCGTTCAAGTTGTGTCTTAGCTGGAAATATATACAGATGTACTTGTCCTAATGGTTACACGGGTCAATATTGCGAAAACGCCGTAGCAACAACTTCAAGTATAATTAATCAGAATAAAAAAAATATATTTCTGAAATTTTTATATTAAACTTTTAAGTTTGCCAACTTAACCCATGTAGCAATGGCGGAACGTATGATTGTTTTATTCACATCGATATTGATATTTAAATATAATTTTTTTTTCTTAGGTGTATACCAACTAGTACAAATTCAAGAGTTTGTTCATGTCCAGCTGGATTCACCGGTCTAAATTGCGAAACATCTATTACAAGTAAAATCATACATATATATATATATATCATTCTTTGATTAAAAAACTATATATAGCTAATACTTGTTTACAAGGCAACACATGTTTGAATAGTGGAGCGTAAGTTTTATTAATAAAAAATATTGATGAATTTACTAAAACGAAATTTTCTATTCAAGTTGTGTCTTAGTTGGAAATATATACAGATGTACTTGTCCTAATGGTTTCACAGGTCAATATTGTGAGACTGCCGTAGCAACAACTTCAAGTATAATTAATTAGATAAAAAAATATATTTCTTAAATTTTTATATTAAACTTTTAAGTTTGTAAACCTACGCCATGTAAAAATGGTGCACAATGTTTTCCTGTAGGTACTACTGATTTTGTATGTGCATGTCCGTCTCAATATACCGGCAAACGATGTGAAACTGTTTTATGTATGTATACATATTTTTCTTTTATCAAACACTTAATTTAATATTTTTGTTTTAATATTCATATATAAAAGCATCATGTAATCCAGCATTATGTAGTAATGGTGGTACGTGTGTCCTTTTGGGAAATGGATCAACTTATAAATGTGCTTGTCCACCCGGATTAACAGGTGATCAATGTACAAGCGCAATCAATAGTAGGTTTTGTTTAAAATTAGAAAATATTATATTAGATATTTTATGTATTTAAATAGATCAATGTTTATCTCAACCATGTCTTAACGGTGGTACATGTTATCAAGGTCCATTTACATATGATTGTAAATGTCCAACTCCATTTCGAGGAGAACGATGTGAATCTGTAGCATCATATTCTAGTAAGATTATTAAACTCATATATTATTATTATTTCTAAATTTTAGCACCATGTGACAGTAATCCATGTATAAATTCTGGTACATGTAATGTTGTTGGTAACAGTTATACATGTTCATGTCCTCCTGGTTACACAGGAAATACCTGCGAATCAAATATTCGACCAGGTAAATTTAGTTTATCAAATCTATTCTATATATTTATTTATATATTTTATTTAGCTGTTTGTGAACTCAATTGTTCACCAGGTTATTGTTTTGCTAATCCAGGAAATCAACCAACATATGCTTGTTATTGTACGGATAATACAATACATGTAAAAACATGTCGTTCTCGTCGTACATATCGTCCTTGAATGATAAAGTTGTCTTTGAAAAAATAAAATTAAAAACGTATATTTCAACCTTGTTATTACATAATAAATACTATATTTGTTTCTGTCTGTCCTTTACAAGGTGATATATGTCATTGAGAAGATCATCATCAGCTGTAAAATATGTATGAAATCATCATTCGTTCTCTTTTCTTTTCTTTGCTTTATTCTGTTGCTCGTCTCGATGTCCTTGAGTAATGTCTATTTGATAAGGACGAGATGCGAGTTGTTCATTAATATGTGTAGACATTTCTCCTTGAGTTTCTTTTTTCCTTTAACTACTCAGACAAGGACGAATGTCTATCATCGATGAGAGAACGAGACAAACAATTTTTTTTTCAATGTCAAACTCTGTTTTTATCAGACGAAGGCAACGTACTACTACTCTACACGCATATAATACTTAATTTGCAACCTTGACTAGAGTCAACAAGTAATGCGTGCCGAGACGCCGACGGCGGCGGCATCATCATCATCATCCGACAATGACCCTGAATTGAAGGCAAACTACACAAATAAATAAATAAATAAATAAAATGATGAATCGACTTTATTTTTATTGATTTGCACTCGAATTTTAAAAAACGAAAAGATTATTTTACAAAAGAAAACGATACACACACGCACACATAAAAAGAAATAGCAGTTTTTTTTTATAATTAGAACAAATGTTGAAGCGAAAAAGTAGAAAGAGCGAAAATTATAGATAAAAAGGAACAACAAAAAAATTGTGAAACGATAGCAGCAGACGAAAAACACTTAGTGTAGTCTTTTTTTTTTTGAAATATATATTTCGTTGAAAATCCGAGTGGCAAGATTATGTCTGCAAACTGCATATGTATGTATGTATGTATTAATAATAATAAGAATAATAATAATAAAAAAAACGATGAAGAACTCTGTTCGTTTGTCTCCTAGATTTGTTTATCAGCAGCAGCAGTAAAAGAAGAAGAAGAAATTCCTGTATTGTGTTTGTTTTTCTTTTGTTAAAACAAAAAAAAAGAGGGCAAAAAAAAAGAACGAGAAAAAAAAAATATAAACGAATTATTGTAGTACTGTTTCGAAAAAAGTCACTACTGTTCATCCTGAGAGATACACACAAAGACGTGTTCCTGAGTTATATAACGAGAGAACATTATAGAAAGTCTGAATATGTGTTACCCTGTAGATAGATCTAGCGACTTGAAGCTATAGATATATATATGTATATAAAAAAAAAGAAAAAAAATTCTTTTGTTTTTGTTTAAAGAAGCACACTGTGCTCGAATAAAGATAAAAGAAAAAAAAGGAAAACGAGAAAGAGAAAGAGAGAGAGAGACATTCAATGAACAACGATTATGAACAACAAACAACATATTAATGAGACTTTATATGTACACATACACATAAACTGTATTTTTCCTGCGACTGTTCGAATTTTGTGCCTCACTCATAGAGAGAGTCAGAAAAAAAGACAAAAAGAAAAGAAATGAAAGAAATAACTCGTTTTTTGTTAAATTTTAGTTTTAGTTTTTTTTTTTTTCTAAAATTTCCGAGAGAAAAAGAAAAGAAGAGACTGTTCTTTGTGCATATCTACCGGGTTGATATATGTGAATATATGAAGAGATAGACAGATACCTGAGTGAAAACTGTGAGAAATAAAATCGTACACATTAATCAAAAGGCAAGAATACGATTGTTACCAAAATCAACAACAAGAATAAGACCATCAGGTGTAACACATAATCCACTTGGTCTATCCATTTGTAAAGGACCTGAACCTTGTGTACCAAATTTAGTCTTAAAAACACCTTGTGATGAAAAGATTTGCACGCGATAATTTCTTGAATCAGCAACAATTATATTTCCTTCAGCATCAATATCAACACCTTGTGGACGTAAAAATTGTCCATTACCTGAACCTTCACTACCTAAAAATCTTGCATTTTGAAAATCTGAGGAAATAAATAATAGTCGATGATTATTAAAATCTGATACAATTATATGACCGGCATGCGTAAAAACGACTCCACGTGGAGAATCAAATTGTTTCCATATAGGACCATCAAAACCATATTTACGTAAAAATAGACCATCTTTTGAAAATAATTGTATACGATGATTACGTGTATCTGATATTAAAATTTGTGATGATGATGATACAGCTACATCCCATGGATAATTAAATTGACCGGGTTTTGTACCTTTTTCACCAAATTTAAATATATATTCTCCAATAGATGTAAAAACTTGTATTCTATGATTATCTTTATCTGTAACAACAATACGATTTAATTGTTTATCAAATGCAACACCGGCTGGTCGATCAAATTGTCCAGGACGATTACCTTGTGCACCAAATTTTCTTAAATATTGTCCATGTTTTGTAAAAATTTGTATACGATTATTTGATCGATCAGCAACAATTATATTCGATTGATTATCACAACATATACCCCATGGTCGACATAATTTACCATCTTGATCACCTTCACCACCAATTTCAAATTCTGATTTTAAACCAAGTGTTGAATAATTACGATTTTGTTTGATTTGTATACGAAATGGATTATCTTTTATTGGGGCATTATTAACATATACATTTAATATATGTAAATTATCACTTTGAGTAATATATGTTATAAAATATTGTCCATTTTGACGATCATATATATCACATGGAATTGTTTGATTTGTACCTGTATCAATTAAACAACATTGAATATTATCACCACCTGTTGTACGTAATTCACCTAAATGATTACGTGTTTGTAAATTTAAAACAGTTAAACGATTACGAATAGTATAATAAAGTGAATCACCATATAATTCACATAATGGTGGATATGTTGAACTTATTAATTGTCCATAATTTATTAAAGATTTATTAATTAAACTTGGAGAACCTTGAAATTGTATATAATCATCTTCAATAGGTTTTAAATATAATAATAATGTTTGTTTCATTTTAATGGTTTCATTCCATAAACGAGTCCTTATACGTATTAAATCAGCATCATTACCATTTTTTAAACATTCATTACAATCTAAAGAAAAAAAAAGAAAATTATTTGCATTGAACTGTCAAATAAATTCAATTATATTAACTTACCAAGTATAGTCAAATGTAATTGTTTAATAACTTGATTTAATTCATTAATTTGTCTTTGTAGAGTTTGTGTTTTCATAGTTTGTATTTTATCGACATTTTTTAATAGAAAATCTTGTCGTTGTGAAAGTATATCAAGAAAATATTTTATCATAGTACGTATTTCATTTTCAATTGTTGAACTTTTTATTGATATATTTTCTATTGTACGTGTTGATTGTTTTAATGATTCATCCAAATGATATAATAATGTTTGGGATTCAATTAAAAATTGTTTTGTTAATTGTCTTGCACTATCGATTGTATCTTGTAATGATGATAATGTATGTTGTTGTGCATGATGAACTTGACAATCATGACAATAAGCTCGTGAACACATATCACAATAATATGATGCTTTTAAAGTTGAATGTTCATGGCAAAATATAGTTGATGATGATGATGGCGGTGATGATATGGTTGGTGATAAAGGTGTTGAATTATTATTAGTATTTTCATTATTTGGTGTATTAAGTGATAATTGAGAAAAAAATGAACCAAATAATGATTGAAAATCATTCGAAGAATTATTTCCTATAGATGAACGATTAATAGGAAGATCGAATGGTGTTTGTTGTGCTATACGTACTTGACAAAAAATATAACCTTGATAAATAAATCAATAATAATAACAGAAAAGAAACTTACCTGCGCCTGCTGGTAAAATATCTGGTGGTTGTGATGGTGGTAGTGACTGTTGCTGTTGTTGTGGTTGTTGTTGTTGTTGTTGTCTTGGTGGTTGACCAATAATTGATCGAGAATTATTAATATTATTATTATTAAATTGTGCTGATAATAATTGTTGTCGATGATCTTTAAAACCAAGCATTTTTGGATGTGTTAATGCACATTTTTCACATAATGATGTTTCACATTCAAGACAATATGTATATGGAGGATTATTTGCAAAACAACAAAATGATGATGGAAGATCATTTGTTGATAAACGATTTAATGATGGTGTTGAGCTTGTTGTTGAGTCAAGTGATGAAAAAGCTGAATGTTGACGTTGTAATATCGATTGTGTTGGTAAATGATTATTATTATTAGGTAAACTTGATGCAAGTAATGGGGAAAAATCGTTACTTTGAACACTACTAGCTGGACTATCACGATCAATAATATTATTATGATTATTTCCATTAAGAAAATGATGAAAATAACGCATAAAATCATTTGTTGTTGATGTCGATTCAAAATCATTATTATTATTTAAATTAGATGAAGTTAATGGTGAAAAAGCATTATTTAAGTCAGAAAACGGATGAAGAAAATTAGTTTTTAAATCATTACCGGATGTAAATGGATCGAAGGTACTAAAACGTCGATTAGAAGATGATATTGATGATGTCGAAGATGCTGATGACGATGATAATGGAGAAAAATGTGGTTGTATTGTAGATTGGGATTGCTGCTGCTGCTGTTGTTGTTGTTGATGCTGCTGCTGCTGTATGTTTAGTAACGGTTGTGATGACGGAAAAAGTGGGAATTTACTGTTCATATCAGAAGAAAAATGTGATTGTGACTGTTGTTGTGGTGGTGGTGGTTGTGGATCGATGAGTTCTGTTATACAATTAGAACAGAGTCGGGATGATGACGATGATGTCATAACAATAGGCATTTCTTTAAGACACGATGAACAAACGCCACCGGTTGTACTACTGCTGATATTGCTAGTTTCATTCATTTTATTTATTTATTTATTTATTTTTCGCTCGCTTTATAGAGGCCTCTCGAGCAAACAGGCCGCAATTTGTGTAAAACCTAACGAGTCATGTTGGAAACCTGCTTTCTTACACTATTCCTTCCCCTCCTAGCTGTCAGCTAATGGTGGAACCCGACAACAATCTAAAATTATACCGAAAAAAAATAATAGAACATTTTTTTTTAAATACAATTCAAATCAAGGTCAACAATGTCTATATAGAATCATAATAAAAAAATAGAAAAATCTATTCCAACCAACTGATTGTTTAACTTACCGTCGACACTAATTGTGTGTCATTTTGTACCCAGTCTATATATATATATATCTATGTATATATATAGAGGAATATGCCTTGTAAAACAATCGATTCCAAAGCGTATCTATGTATATGAAGGTGTTTTTCGCTCTCCCTCCCCCACTTTGTCCCTATGTCTCTCTCTCTCTGTGTCTCTGTCTCTCTCTCTCTCTCTCGTCATAATGTATCACGTGTGTACTTCTAGCGTAATGATGTCTCTGTCGAGTAGCGTAATAGGCCAGAAAGAAAAAAAGAACGCCATAGATGACGACAATGAAAAGAGAGAGTACAACGAAATAAGTAAGGAAAAGAAGAGAAAAAAATGGCCCTAAAAGTTCTGCGCAAAAAAAAACGAGAGATTTTTTCTTCTTTTGCGTCTTGGCTTTTTTCTCTGAATGAATGACTGAATGAATGAATGAATGAAATTTGCTCTGTCTGTCTGTCTCTCTCTATTTCTATCAATAAAATACATGAATGTAAGCTCGATCATTTGTTCTCTATGTACGACAGTCCTTTTTTTCTTGCTTTCTCTCTTTTCTATTTTATATGTAATGAAAGGAATAGCTTGTTCTCTTACATAAGATATATAATATATTCCCTCTTGTTTCTTCTTCACAGTGCGGTACCATCAACGTACGAGTTGTTATGCACTCATTTGCCTTGAACAGCAACCAACGCACTATAAAGGCGAAAGAAATAGCAAGCTGTTGATCTTCTCATTTTTTTTTATATGTTGGCAGAACCGAAAGAAGAAGACGAAGGAAAAGGAGAAAAAAAGAAATATTTGGTCTCGATGTCCTAAGACGCATACAAGCAAATATAAAAAAAAAAGATATAAAGGTGTGTATGGGTGTGTGTAGTAGACAAGGGAACGGATGAACAGATGAGAAAGGAAAAGACCTTGGCTGGTATGTCTCGTTCTTTTACTTCAACTGACTTCATGGTCGAAGTATAGCAATAATAATAATAGTAATAATAATACTAATACTAATACTATAGAGAAAAGAAGCACGTAATATTGACCCGCCGTAGGTCTTGTTTGACCTCTGAGTTCTCATATCATTATATATATCAAAAAAAGAAAGTAAACCTGTTTATATTATCAATGATATAGACACAATGATTGATCTGATATTCATAGTTCAAGCAAATCCTTCCCTCCAGTTGAACTGATCGTTTATCAAAAACGAATCAGGCATAGTATATATTATAACCTTCTTTCATTGTTCTCTTATACATCAATCACATATTACTCAACACAAAAAAAGAATCACATTGAGCTATTTGTCGCCCTTTAATGATGATGATGGCTTTTTTATCCGTTATACAGATTATGCATAGTGATGACAGGTATATAATCGAAGCGTTAATAAACCTATGAAGGATATAATTTTATTCAGAAATAGGTTATTGTTACAATTACAAAGAGATAAAATCTTAATCATTCTCATAGTTATGAGAATCAAAACATTACGAGATTCAAAAAAAAAAAGAACAGAAAAAAAAGTCATTCAATAAAAATATTTATTATCCATCATAAATAAGAATTTGATTTTTATAAATCTAAGTGATTATTTGTCGCGGAAAATTGTATATCAGTATCATTAAGATCATGACAGAAAAGTGATCGAGGTACAAAATAATCTAATGGACCATTCTAACCAAACAAAAGAAGATATTTTCAAAAAAAAAACTATTATTGATTCTTACGAGTGTTCGAGGACAATTTTGTCGAGCATACCATTCAATTGAATATAAACACATTTGCATTCCAAGTCCAACGAATAAAGATGTCCATATAAAAACATTAAATGCATTATTTTGTGTACGTTGCGGTAGAATAAGCATTGAAATAACTTAATCAAAAAAAAATAAAACATTGTCTTTTCTTTTTATTTCCCTCAATCAAATTCTATAACTTACATCCAAGTACAGCAAATTGAAGAAATAATATTGGATAAAAATAGCCAAAAGCTAATGCAAGGATATATTCATGAACACATGCACTAAGAAATATGACAGTGTACATTGATACCAAACGATATTTAACACCGAGTAACTATTTATGAATGAAAAATATTCAAGATTAGAATGAGTTTTTGTTCTATGGATTTACTTTATGACAATCTCGATAAACATAAGTATAAAGCCAATCATGTACAACCTATATATAATTAAATAGAATATTATAGAGACAATTTAGAATTTACAATATTCCAGGTTCGATAATAACTACTCCAAGAGTTAGCTGTCCACCAATCCTTCAAAATATATGAATTATAAAGTTAGAAAGATAGACAAATGATCAACATACACTGTAGAATTGCCGATCAGCAAAACGAAGCATTTCAGCAAATGCATTGAGCCAACAATGGAGAAAACCATAGAAAGCTGTAATACAAATATGTAGGTCAATATATGGAAAAAAAATCAACGTTATTCTCTATAACATCAGTGGCTAATTACAATATATCCTAAGGCAAAATTCTTTCTTGTTCTACTATACACATCCGTCAATAAATTAACTATAAAATATGATAGTATACAATGAATAATTTTTCCTAGAGGATATTTTTCTATTAGAACTTACCACAAAATAAGAGAAGTGCTCCGGGTAAAGTACAATTGAGAATTGAAAGAACAAATTTTTTGACTGTAACATGTTCCGATTTAAAATGTCGAAATACCGGTAAACAAAATCGATAAAATAAGTAATAACCAAAGAATGCTGCTCCAATAAATTGTGTTAATTGAGTAATGACATATTTCCATCGTACAGATGATGTTCGAGGATATGAATCACGATAGATAAGTGTAGGTGCAAATAAAAAATAGAGAAATTTAGAAAATTCTGGACAAGGTGTATGTGGATGAGGAAATGCTTTTTGATTATTAATTGAATCATTTGGTTTATCATTTGTAGTATCTTCAATTGTAACTACAGATGAAGAAGAAGAAAAGGTTATTTTCTTTTAAATAAGAACAAACTTTCTTTTGAAGAAATTCGACCATAAAGTATCGCACGTGGTGCATTCTCTCGTACAAATGCATGAGATTTCATTAAAAACCGAACCTAAATAGAAAAACAATGAACATTTGGTCTTGATATTCAATATTTCAACGTTTATTTTCGATTCTATAGGTAAATAAAAATTTACTTGTTCCATTAAAATAAATATTCGTGTTACAATCGGATAGTTTTCAGCAAGAATATAATATACGGGAAAATATAAAAATAATGCTATATAACAACAATATACAACTAACCAAAACCAATCAAATATTACTAAAATAATAATAGAAAATAAAAATATCTCAGATAAATTCGTTGGATCTGAATCTTACATAAACTAGCTGGTTTATTCTTTGGTTTTTCTGATACATCAGATGATGATGATGAGATTGGAATGAGTAAAAGACGTTTATATGCCCAAATATGAAAAGAATTATAAACGATTATACAGGTTGAAGCAAATAAATAAAGCCAAAGTCGTAAACATGCTGAAACATTGGAGAAATTCCACCGGATGACGTCAAATCGAAAATCAATTCTAGAAAAAGTTTGTTAATCAAAAAAAAAAGTTTTCTGTTTTGAACATACGTTCCCAATTCAAATAAATCAGTTATAGCAACTTGTAAAAAGACAATAACAAGAATTGCAATAAATATCTGTCGAATTGATTTAATATGTGATACTTCAAGTAAATCTGTAAGTATTGATTGACGCATACGAAAAATTTTTAATGGAAATACAGATGGTGGTTTTTTATTTGGATCAGTATTTTGTGAATTTGATGGAATTACCGCTTCACTCTCAATTTTATGAATTGCTGCTAAATCCATAGGTGATATGACAGGTTCTTTTAGACTATTATCAGCTGTTTGTTTAATTTCTGAGGAAAATTCTTCAAGACGACTACTTATGTAATTAAGTATATCAGAACGAAGATGCTATTCAATAAAATAAATAATCATTTATTTGTTTTGTGTTTTTTTTATTTGAGGAAAATAATTACTTCAGTTGCATTATAAATTTGTACTGTTCGATCAACACGACGAAATTCAGCATTTGCCGATGATTCTATGTGTATATATAGATGTGTTCAAATATTGATTTTTAATTAAAAAAAATTAAACTAACCATGACTACGTTTTTCTGTCGTAGCCATTAATTGATGGAGTAAATAAGAATGTTGCTGCGTAAATCTAAAGAGATTCGATCGGTATTTTATTTATTTATTTATTTATTTATAATGACGCGGAAAAATAAATATTAAACACCCACATATATTATCTCTTATTTATTAATCGACACGACTAAAAAGTGTATTATAGATTAAGATTATCGGTATTTTCTTGTAAGTATTATTTTGATTAGAAAATATATATATATATAATTAAATCCCTACACTCATCGTGATAATTATTTTTTAAGAAAAATCTTATGTAGATATATTCTATTTAATCATTTTTTGATAAATGAGTACTATTTCAGACAAAAGTATCCTGTAATAATTAATTTCATTTTTTTTTATTGTCACTTTACTCTTGACAGTATAAAATTATGATATACAGTCACTATTCATGTAATTCGAAATACTAATTTATAGAATATATAATCAAACTAGGTTTGTTTCCGATCGATCATATCTCAATGACATCGATACTTAACTTTATTTATGTTCTTAGAACTGTCGAACATTCTACTTAATTTCCTAGTTGACAGTAAGAAACAATAGTGGTATTACAGATGATTTATGATTCATTTAGACTTTCTATTGGTAAATAATTATAATCCAATTAAAATTGATTTTAAACCATTAAAATGATATTTAATTTATTATTTTGTTCATAAATCATCAAACATATCTTTTTTTCGAAATATTATTTATAAAAATGATATAAATTTTTCAATTGTATACGAGTGACCTCTAGATAACAGAGGACATTCTGAATTAACTTATTTCTTTCGAAAGAAATAAATACGAAATTTTTGCTATTGATTTATAAATTATATCATATATTTTATTGTAGATTAATCCTCCTTCATAATACTTTTACTAGTTGTTTTTAATCTTTATCTATCTATATATTAACACCCTGGAATCGCTCTCTTCTAGAAACATCTCTCTTTTTACATGCGATTTAATCAAAGAAAGTGAACAGATATTATTCTCTAAAACCCTAGATATAAATAGTTTAAATCAAATGTGACTATTCTCATCCAGTATATATCATTATCTAACTATAAATCGAAATCATAGACGTGTGAACAAAAGAGAAAAGAAAAAGTAGTATACTTTCGAATTATCGTCTTCACTTTTCGTCTTTCTACATCCATACGTCGATAGCAGAAATAAGATATCAAAAATGAGCTTAGCTAATAATACCACATTAAAGAAAACATCTTCATCTGGTACAACTGATTCACCATATCTTGGTTCAAAAATTAGTCTTGTATCAAAAGCTAAAATTCGTTATGAAGGTATTCTCTATACAATCGATGCTAATGAATCGACTGTAGCACTTTCAAAAGGTAAGAATATTTTAAAAACATAAGAATGAAAAACGAAACTTTATAAATATCTTTTTCTTTTTAATTCTAGTGCGTTCATTCGGTACTGAAGATCGTCCAACTGATCGTCCAGTACCAGCTCGTGATGAAATCTTCGAATATATTATCTTTCGTGGTGCTGATATTGAAGATCTTCAAGTACGAGAACCTCCATCAAGTTCATTAACTCAAGATCCAGCTATTGTCGAGGTATTTATATACATATAATAATCATAACTGTTATAATCTTATTCAATATCATTTTTTTAGTCATCTGCCTATTCTGATAATGCTCGTTCAAATACAATTGGAACTAATACAAATCTTGGAGGTAAGAATACGAGAAGAAAAAACCACGATTAATTTTCTATTTAAACTAAAAATTATAATTTAAGGATCATTACACAATGGTCAACAACGTTCATCATCAAACCGTGGTACAATGCCATCACCACCACTTCGTCAAGGTAATGGTAAAGGTTTAAAATCCTTTGAACCATTACGTCAATTTAATTTCAATCAACAACGCTCATCAAGACAATATAATCAACAATCACCATCAGCTCGATATGAAGGTCAAGATTATTTCTATGGTAATCAACGACGTGCTCCACGTCAACAAGATTATTACAATGATTATGTTCCAAATCGTCGAGGTAATGATTATGCTGAATGGCCACGTCAATCACAACGTTTTTCAAGACAATCGCAAAATTATAATGAAAATCGATTTTATTCACAAAGACGTAAGTTGAATAAAAATAAATTTTTTAGTTTATCTTGCTTTTTTCTTAAAGGTCAACAACCAACAGGAAGATATAGTTATCGTCCACGACGTAATTCAACTGGTGATATGCCAACTAACCAACAACAAACACGTAATACTCGTCAACAACGTGAACGTCCAACAGGTGCAAACCGATCAACATTGAAATTTGTTGGTGATTTTGATTTTGAAAAATCAAATGCTGAATTTGATAAAAATGCAATTGAAGATGAAATTAAAAAAAGTTTATCAATCAAAACAAGTAAAACTGAAACAACAAGTGATTCACCAAAAAGTGAACATGAAAAAGATAAAGAAAATCAACAAACAATTTCATCATCAACACAATCTGAACAACAAGAAATGCATCCAGATGGTTATTATGATAAACAAAAAAGTTTCTTCGACCGAATTTCATGTGAATCAACAGAAAAAGAAAAAACGTAAGAAAATTTAATTTTAATTTTAAAAGAAATTAAACTCTACCTTTTCTTTTAGCAATGCTCGTCGTAACTGGAATGAAGAACGTCGTGTTAATGCTGAAACATTCGGTTTAAAATACCGTCCAGTACAACAAGGTGGATATCAACAACAAGGTGGATATCAACAACGTCCAACTTATCGACGAAATAATAATGGTGGTCGTTATCAACAACGTACAGGAGGAAATGAAGGCTATGGAGGTTATCGAAGTTATGGAGGTTATGGTGCTCGTAATGCCATGCAATATGGCAACTTTAATAATCGAGTACGAGCTTATTAAAATACAAGATCAAGTCCTATCTGTATACGTTTATAGTCATTTGGTTTAACCAAATACTTCTTTCTCTTTCATTTACCTCATGATCTTCTTTTTCTTTTTCTTTATCTTATATAACTATCCCTTATACATTTTATCTATCTTTTTTCTTCTTTTTTGATTATCGTTTTTCCGTACTGGAGTTTTTTTTATAAAGACGAATTAACAGATGTATGATGAGAAAAAAGGACAACGAAGAATCTATAAGCATGTTTTTTATTTTATTTGTATGCAAAAAAAAATTGTTTCGTTTTTCTAAAACAAAATAAAAGTGTACGAAAAAAAATCTTATTAAATAATCAATTAAACTTTCGACTGATAGATTGAAGACATTTCATAGTAAAGTTGAATCAACGATAAACAAATTTCTAGACTATTTAATTTATTGTCCAATGTGAAAAGTTTTAATTTCTAAATTAATATAGATATCGAATCTTATTAGAGTTTTGCACCGAGTCGATTAAAATGCTTCTCTATCATTCGGATTTCATGGTATTATTCTCGGACATTTTATCTACAAACCGATGTATCGCGATGGAGTAAGTGACGTTTCATCGAGGCTCACGAACGAAAAAGAAAATCGGCGACGCACTTAACTCCGATTCTTCCATATGGAACTCGACTTCAATTTTCTTTTTCGTTCGTAAGCCTCGATGACACGTCACTTACTCCATCGCGTTACATCAGTTTGTGGAGAATATGTTCGAGAATAATACCTTGAAGTTAACAAATCTTTAGCATGAAACCCGAATGATAAAGAAGTATTTTGAATAACTCCTTGTAGGACTCTAAATCTTATATACCTGTAAATTCTAATATATGAAATTCTTCACGGATAATATTAATTATGTGATGTACATAGAACATTAAAAACTAATATTTTCTTTATCCTACTGCTTTGAATTATTTACTTCAACTATGTTTTCATTTAACGAAACTTTTCGTTATCTAATTATTATTCAACGGTAATGTCTGGTGTAAAGTCTTGTAGAAAATTCGCCATTGATAAATAATTATCACAGCCGACCCATCTTCCAGTTTGAAAAGGTAAAATTTACTCACATGATGGTTATTTTCCTGTGAATTCTTAGCATAAAACATTTAATGGGAAAGAGACATAACGCACCAACTTATTTTTACGGTTTCCTTAAGAAGACGTTCGTCACGACTTTCCGACATATAAAAACATACAATATCTTCGCAATGACAAAGATTTAAAACGAGCAGGGTGTGAGTGTATAAGTCATTCTTCTCTCATAGTACACATCCACAGCCATACCGTCACCCGATTTCCTGAAAATATTTTACATACTGTTGAGCGTTTCATTCCGATTTACCTGTATTTTTTTAAGCGATGTTTCCCCTGATCAACATGTTTTATAGACTCCCGGTGAAAAAAAGTCGAATCCGAACACCTGGACAAACTACCAGGTGTTCGGGACACCTAGTACGTTTTGTCTTTGTCCCCATTTAATGAATCAAGATAAATACTAGAAGTTTTTTATGATATTTTTCACATTTAGATTTTTATTCAGTATCTAATTTTATTATTCTTTCAAAACAAGCAACAAAAAATCCATTTGTTAATGTATCTTCAGGAGAAGCACGTAAACAGGCTTGTGTTCTTTCCGTTTGTCCACGACTAGGCCATTTAGGTAAGAAATCCACAAGCTAAAAATAAATCAGTTTTAAATGAAGAAAAAATTTCTTTATTCAAACCTGAAATGTATCACTGAATTGATCAAGAATTGTTTCAACAACTTGTTCATTTTCTTGCATATGTATTGAACATGTACTATATGTTAAACGTTTCACATTTGGAAAATTTGTTAATGCATACGTAATCATACGTATTTGTAATGTAGCAAGACGTTCTAAACGTTCTTCATCAATAACTTCGGTATCATCATTACGATTGCGAATACCCGAACCAGAACAAGATGGATCAAGTAATATATAATCTATCTCATCAAATGGTAATGTAACATTTAAAAAATCACCATTTAATGTATGTGCACAAGTAACACCGGCTGTTTTTAAATTAATATTTAATTCTTTAAAACGACGTCTATTCAATTCAATTGCATACAATTTACTATAAGAATAAAACTAAATAATTAACAAAAAAAATTCCTATCGAATATTAACCCTTTATTTCGTAGATAATTTGCTAAACAGATTGTTTTATTACCAGGTGCAGCACATGCATCAAGTACAATACTACCGGGTGGTGGAGATAATGCTAAACATGGTAAACAACTTGCCTGATATAAAGAAGAAAAAAAACAGATTATAAATTTAATTTCATATAATGATCTTACACCTTATCCATAAGTAACATATGTCGATTGAGATAAATTTCATAATCAAAAAATTTTGTATTAGAACGAAAAACAAGAACATGTTCAATATCTGGATCAATAAAATATTTCATTTCTGCTAAACGTTTAACACCTTTTCGAAAATTTGTCCTAAAATTAAAAATATAAAAATCTTGTTTAGAGAAGAAAGGTATGTTTTCATCGTTAATTCGAACTTGAATGACCAAAGAAATCAGTATATGTAACACTGATTTAACATCAATATAATTTCAATCAGTCTTAGTTAAACAGATGTCTTCAAAAAATAAAAAATAAAGCCCTTCTCTCATCATCAATTCGTTTGATGCAATTTACAGCGGAACATACTAACAATCATGCCGAACATAAGCTGTTAATTATGCATTTAATATCATAGGATGAAAGGCTAATTTATTTCCTGCTAACAAATAAACAAACAAAACACATTCAAATTTGTATACTAACACTTGCTCTTCACACCTCATTGAAAAATATATATACATAAGATAGATACTCATCAAATCCAGTATAATACTCTTTCAATTGGAATATTCAAAAACTATATATATTGAATTTTTTCGAAATTCTTTATAATATAAAACTATGGACATGTCGTGTGATATGTGTATAGTTGCAAATTGATCTCTTTTAATGCGGCACCTTGAAATGGAAATACTGTGTGAATATGAAAACAAACATCAGTCAGTCAATCAATAATTCATTGTTTCTAACCAATAAAATATTTCCACCAATAAGAATACATTTCTCTCTCTCGCTTCTTCTCTTCTTCTTCCTATAATATACTTAACAGACATACATAACTTCACTTTTATATCACAGATCATCATCATCATCATGTCAAAGAATTTCTCTATTGATGCATTACTTAATACTACTACGAATAATAATAATCATCATGAAAGTCAAAACTGTATACCCTTTTATACAAATCCATTACTTCAAACATTTTTAAATCATCTACAATTAGAACAAACTAAATCAAGTAATTTCTATTAAATTATATTTCTATTTCTATATTTATTTTCATTTAGTTAATCAATTGTCACATAGTTTAACCACAAGTGATAGTGATGAAGATGATAATTCATCAAACTCTTCTTCAGTAAACAAAACAACAAATAATTCATCATCATCACGTCGTAAACGAACAGCGTTTTCAAATGAACAATTAATCGAATTAGAAGCAGAATTTCAACAAAAAAAATATTTATCACTAGTCGAACGTTCACAAATCGCTCGTTCATTACATCTATCAGAAATTCAAGTAAAAATTTGGTGGCAAAATCGTCGTGCAAAATGGAAACGTATTAAAGCTGGACAATTACGACAATTTTCAACACATTGTGAAACAAATAAAATTTTATGTCCTATACCAGTACATGTTAAAAAACCTTTTACGTCTTAATTCTTCATTTTTTTTTGTTTTGTATAAAAGGAAAGAGAGAAAATAAATTATGAAAAATTTGCACATAAAACAATTGAATTGATTGATCATCAAAGAGAAACAATGGAAATCTTTCTAATCGTGCAAAGCTTCGAGGGAGGTAGAAAAAGACCTAAAGTGTTATTTTAGATGATAATCATCATTGATGAAATCTAGACGAGAGTGATAAAGTGTTTCATCTGAATGAAATAGATCGCATTACAATTATTGTGTTTTTCACTACAAATACACGAAGTTAAGAAAATGAGATAGGTTTATAGTTATCGAAGAATAAGGCGTCATGTGTACCTTTTGAATATTATTCTGATCCAGTGGCGGATTTAGGGGTGGGCGCCCACCTCTTCATAATTTTTACAACAGAAATGAACGAGAAAATAGGTTCACACTACTTCGATTGGACTCAAAAACTTTTTAGCCGAAATCAGCTCCTCCCTACTCAGGAGTCGCCTCTCCTTTCCAAAATCCTAGATCCACCACTGCTCTGTCTGATGGTATACGTAAAATTCCCAATGCGATCTTCTATATCTATTATCTGAATAGGGTCGGTTAAACAATGACTGTTCGTGAAAGAAAACCATTTTGTCTTTTATGAATAACATTATAGGATGAATCTAATCGATTGAATAATTAACTGTTAAATTTTAGTCGATCAATATCTTTATCTTCGTAGAAAAACAAAATGAAACAATCTCATTTCCTCTTTCTTGCTGTGATCAATCGCGGTTAACACTTAACATAAAATGAAAGATCGAATTTATTATGTAATATGATCCTCTTTTGTTGCTTTCCGTTAAATTATGAACATGTGCAATTGACTTATTATGATTTGAGAGATCAACTAGTTTAATGGGAAAGAAAAAGGATGATTGTCTAGTGTATCGCATAATTCCCATAAGCAATTATCTCTCGTCACACATTTGCCTTTGAACAAACGATATCACATAAATCATTTGACACAACAAAAAAAAAGAAAACGAAAGTATAAAGATTCTTCTTTTTTTTCATTTTTATATTTTATTCAGCAATCATTTAGAAAACAACAAAATGATACTAATCAGAAGAAAATTAGAAGTATCGTTTTGACACCTTCCTGTTATATGTATGTATAAAGAATGATGAATTAACTTTATTTAGCTTATAATGACAAGTCATTAACAATTGGGTGACAATGAATAACTACTATAACTGTTAATGATAGGCGATGTTTAGAATGTAATATGATTCGTGTGTCTATATTGTGATTTACTACTTAGATTAACACTCGTGCAAAACGTCGTTTGGACATGAATAAATTAGAAGCATCGATTAACACTAATGTCTCTAGTGACTTTTTTTCTTCTCAAAGAAAATGAATTCATATATATATATGATCTTCTGTCGGTATTAATCAGATATGAATCATTAACTAGGAATAGTTTTGATGTTGAATGATAAAAAAGATTAATACTCACACATTTTTTATCTTTTTAAATGATAATTCTTTGAGATTTAATCGAAGTTGTTTGGCTTTTGTTTTTAATAGATTTATTCGAACATAACGAGGAATTTCAATTGAAGGATTTTTATTTGTTGGTGATGTATCAAGTAATTCAGATATTGAAGAAAGTTTGTGTTCATTCAAAAGAGTTTCGATACATTGATCAATAGATGATTGATTACGTTTTAACATACCCTAGAGAACGAAAAAAATATTTTTTCTCATTATAAATAAAAGAATAGATTGATCATTAAATTGGGGTGGTGAGGAATGAGATATTTCCGGTAGCAGATGTTCGTTACGATCTCCCGACATAAGGAAAAAAGGACAGGGTATTCGAAATTAGACGTACGGGAGTTCGGAATGACAGAATCAATCAAAAATAAAAAACAGGGTGTTCGTAGTGAGAGTTGTCTATGGGAATCATTATCTTAGAACACCCGGTCATATGTCCGGGAGTTCAGAATACCTAATGCGAAATGTCTTTGCCCCATCTGAAATATCATTGTTTTATCTAGCGGGTAGGCGGCGCCCATCTGGAATTATTATTTCGCCCAGCCCACATTTCTATTTGCATACGTGAAAATAGAAACCTGGATAAGATACTGTCAACCCTTTGACGCCCATGATTCAACCTATAGACGAAATCTCTTTAAAACTTGATATTTCATATGAGCATTGAGTATTCTCGACGCTTAAAAAAATATTTCAACTCATTTTCACCGTACCCCCCTACGGAAATATATTAGCCGCTTTCTCGGAGGTGTGCACACGGGAGCCGGAAACTGATTCAATAACCTCAGTAGGGTTTTTAACCTTGCATAAATATATGCGTGAAACTCTCTTCTATATCGTAGTGAACGCTACACTTCGTTATCGCTCTGCATTCGCGAGTTATTCGGAATTTATCAAAATTAAAAAAAGTTAAATATCAACTCATAAAAAGTAATCTATTGATATACCAACCTTAAATTTGCCTCTAACATGTGTTCCAAAAACTTGATCATAGACAAGAATTAATGCTAATTCATTTGATAGAAAGTTTTCTCTTTCTAATAATTGAGATCGATCAATAATTGTTTGTAATAACGCACGATGTTGAATAACTTTTGAAATTAATGCCAATAACTGTGGTTTATTCTATATACAATCGAAAACAAAAACATATTCTAAACAATAAGAAAAAAACCAAATCACCTTATATGTACTTTGTGCAACAAGACTTCGTATTGATCGATTTGTTTTTTGATTTATTTGCCAAAGACGATAAACTTCTTGATAAAGCATTTTATTTTTTCTACAAAAATTTTTCTTGTTTTTATTTTTGTTTTTTCAAATGACTTAATTCTATTTTATGTATTTGTCTTCAGAATATATATAAAAAACAATAAAATCTAGTACATAGACAATAGAGAACGGCTTGTTGTTATGTTTTTTTTCCTTTCATTATCTTTTTTGTAGTTATAAAACTTAAAATAGAAGAAAAATGAAATAAACAATAATCAATCTAGACGAACAGCAACAGTAATAACAAAGCAAGAAACAAACTGTTCGCTTCTGCATTTATATATATATGTATATATAGATCAAGAACTGTACAAGAAAGAAGAAGAAGAAGAACAAAACGAAAACGGCACTCTTTTATTTATATACAAATAAACGCTTTTTCTAAATATATATCAAGAAGAAAGTTTTCATCTATTCTTCTTATTTGAATATAAAACCATATATATATATATAAATGTGAAATATTAGTTTATTTATCGATATAAATTTGCATGCGGAATAACAGAGAATATTCTTTTGATTGCATAAGATTAATCATAAGGTAGATATTATTACACAGCACTTAATTTCACACCTAAAATAAATAAAAATAATAAAATTTAGAAAAAAAATGAATAAATTCAATCGTATTATTAGTTAAAATATGTGTAAATAAATAAAACAAAACAGATTATTTTCATTGAATATTCCTTAGTTATATAAAAATAATTGCGTATCATATCAAAATTATATAAATAAGAAATAAATAAAACACCAGTAGAAAAGCTTTTTGAAACAAGCAAAATATTTTAGCATAAATTATAATTATATATTGGCAAGTTTTTCTTCAAATGATAATAAAATTCGAAAATATATATGTCAGCATCCAGACTAAGATTACGCCGAATATCAGATAGAGACAAAAGGTATCATCGGATCAATTAAGTTTTATACACAAGACTAGATTTTGTGGGAAACTACTTATAAATGCTTGACTTTTTCATCGCTGATTGTAAGACTCCTCAATCCGACATTGGACGCGTCTGTTCTCGGATTCGAGATTTGTCTAGGCCAATCCGAGACTGGACGCTGACATGTATATTTGATTGTGAATAACGAACAATGTGTTAGAGTAAATTACAATTGATATGTGTACTGTTATATAATAAGATCTTGAAAATGACTCAATAAAATATTTTAATAAACGTCAACTAGATTAGCTTAATTCATATAAATCAAGATTTAACTTTTAATAAAAACGTCAATTACATGAGTGATGATTTTGAATAAAGTTTAATTACGCGTTCAAAGATTAATCAACTATTAAATCGTATTAGGGTCAATACCTATAATCTATTGATTCAAAATCTTACTATCCTAGCTGTTTTTTCCGAGACTAGTCTTCTAAAAATTATTTCGATAATTTTTAAATAAAATATTGTTTATAGATAAGTATTTTTGTATATTATAGTCAGTCTTAAATTACTTGACATGGTCAAAGATTTTCGCGCTCTACACAACTGATAACTATACTCGAATGATTTTTTGATTTTGAATTTCAAACGTATAGACTAATTCACAGTACACTATATCATTGTGATATATCTCATGTGAATATGTGTATAAAGTGTTATATATAGATATATTAAAGCATTAAATGACTTTAGCAGCAATATAAAAAGGAAGGAAGAAGATAAGCATACTCTTCTTCTTACGTCCGATCTCCAAGCTCCTATGAAAATAGTTGGTGACGGAAGAGTTTCTCATTTATTAATTTAATTATAAAAAATTTTACTTACCATTTTCATCAGAAAAACAATTTTGACAATGAAGTCGATTGTTGCGTATACGAACATCAATACCTTCAGGAGATGATGTTAGTGGAACATTACAAACAAAACAACGAAAACATTCTATATGATAATATAATTTAAGTGATTCAATAACCATAGCTGAACCATGTCCTATTACAAAATATTATAAAAGAAATAAAATTGAATATAAAATTAAAAATCTTTACCTAATTCTTCATTACATCTTGAACAATGTAATTTTCCGCTAACAGATAACACTCGTTCATTATTCAGTGTACGACCAGCTGATCTCCTATATATAAAAAATAAATCTTTTTTTTTCTTTTTATTGAAATAAACAAACGTTCGATTTGGTTTATTTGGTGATGATTCAAAATTTCTTTGTTGTTCATATCTTGAATGATGATCATGATAATTAGACATTGGTTGTCTATTTATCTGTAATTCTTGTTGATGTGGAGCAAGTGGTGCTGAACGACGACCATTACTATGTCCATTTGGTGTTTTTCTCTGATTATTACGAATCCATGCATTATCATCAACATGAGGTTGTCGAGGTGCTTGATTAAGTGTGGTATGAAATTGTTTACTAAAATAATACAATCAATTTACTTTCAACAAATGAATTTTTTTATAGGCTGATATATCGATAGTTGACACCAACAACTGTTGAAACCTTATTGATCATGACAGCAATGCAATGCTACATGAAACATTAAAACTATATTCAAATCTCTATAAGTGCTTCTTATATTTAACACTCAAAAATCAATTTTAAGCAGGTATTATGAAACCATACTTTGACAAAGAAAAACTTTTACCTAGTAACTCTTTGTTGTGGTATTTGTTCATTTAATTGAATTGTCACTTTTTTTTGTTGTTGATTTATTACTTGTGGTTGTGATGAATATGATCCTGGTAATTCAATTCTTAATTCATTAACTGTACGTTCTAATGAATGTGCTGTACTGGGTCGATGAATTGTTGTCATCGATGGTAAATCAGGTATAGAACGTTTTGTAAAATTTACCGATGATACTTGTTGAGGATATGGATCAAGATAATGAATAACTTGTTCATTAGGATTTATTTTTAAACCATAAGTACGATTTGTTGGAATTTGTTCGAATTCATTTTGTGTAGAAAGTGATTTTTTCAATGATGAACGTAAAAATTCCGGTTGCTGGTTTTGTTGTTGTTGTTGTAGTGGCGGTGGTGGAGATAGTGATATTGAAGGATTAGTATAATCGACAGGAATATTCACCGGTCGCTGTTGATCCTAGTATATTTAGACAAAGAAAAGTCAAATGATTCAGAGTTATAATTGAATAATTAAATACTCGTGCAAGAGTTGGAGTACGAGGTAATGTTGGTGATGATGGTGAATGAATTTTAGGCGCACGTGAAAAGCCAAATTCAAGATCTTGTTGAAGTTGATCCATTTGTTTTTCAACATAGGAACGTACTTGAGCAATAGGAGATTCATCACGTTGTTGTTTTATATTATTATCAACAGTTGAATTTCCATATAAAACAGATTGAACGGATGATAATGTTGGCGGCGGCGGTGGCGGTGGAAATTGTTCAACAATTGTTAGAGCTAAAGCAATTTGATGTTAAAAAGCAAAAAATAGAATGAAAATTCCTACGTGTATTGGTTATAACTCGAGGTGGTGGTTGTTTAGATAAATTTATTTGTTGTTTTTCATTCGGCACTGGTGTCTATATAAAGAAATAGAATATGTAATATGAGAAAGTAGAAGAAGAACTAAGAAGAAGTTAGAATCATGCATGTGTGTGTATTGCGGATATTCATTAGTATATTATTGCAAAAAACAACAGTATTGCTGCTATCTTTACTAATTGAAAAGTGATATAATGATACCTCTCGTTTTTGTGTCTCATCAATTCCTCTCAATTGTTTTTCAAATTCCGCCTCGAGATCTTGAAGTTCTTTATCATAAATACTCTAGACAGAAGAAAAAAAAAATCAAAAAAAAAATTAAATCATCATTTATAAATCTATCTATCTAATCAATATTATAAGCATGCACTAAAAGTAATCATTGAGATTGAATTGCTCACCCGTTCTTTCAAAAAAAATTAATAAGAATATTAAGTTAAACAAACAAAATTAATGAAAAAGAAAAAAATGTTGTTCACCAAACACCAAGAGTAATGATTAGTTTATATACTGTAGTTATACAATTATAAATCACATGTATTTTAACTACCTCATTCACTGTATGTTTATTTATATTCGATGAATTAAGCATTCTTCGAAATGCTTCAATCGGCGATGTATATTTCATATTCTGAACAACAGAAAAATATAAGAGCTATATACATATCATGCTCGATAGAATTTATGAGAACAAAAAAAATGAATAAAAGCAGTAAGAGATAATATTTTTGAAGACATGCACTTCGTGAATGTATAAGATAAAGACTAGATGATTACCATTAAAGTAAGTAATTCTTTTCGAGAAAATGTTAAATCCTGGATTTATTGAATAGTTAGAATGAAATCTTAAAAAAGAAAAAAGAATTCCTACCGAATCATGATTATTTTGTGGATCGAGATTAATTGACGCAGTTGAACGATATGGTTTTGGTGCAAGTATATTTATTGGTGATGTTGGAATTGGTTGTTGTACAGTATTAACTTTTATTGAATCAGATGGAGTATAAGGTAAAAATGTATAAACAGGTGATAAATTATTCGGTGTAGAATTTGTTTTAGGTACTGGAATATTTGGTGATATTGTTGTAGTTGATATATGTTTAGGTGGTGATGGAGTTCGACTATGATCAGTCGGAAATCCATTTGTAACTGTTTGAGAATTATCATCAATAGTATCTGATAAGTAAAAGGAAAGAAATATTTTCGTCACAATAATTTAAATGAAATTGATATTATTAGATATGACCTAGAGATTCATCATATCAAACAAGGTTATCTGATAGTATATTTTTAATACTTAATGCTTTAATATTGATTATCTGTCTCATAAATCAAAATTAATTAACCTTGTACATTCATCTATTAGATTATCTTTATCATTTGAGTACTCATCATCATATCAATGATATTTTCAATATGTATATGACTAATTTAATTTACCTTCATAAGTTTTAACAATCATTTTAATACTACCACGTAAATTACGTTCTTTAAGAATTTTTCGTACTTGATCGAATGTAAGATTTTCAATATTTTCATTATTCATTGATATAACTTCATCATCAATACATAAACCAGCTTTATCAGCAGGACTATCTACAAAAAATATTAATTAGAATAGAAAGATTTATTTTTATTGAATATTTCAACCTTCTTCAATTGCTGAAATAATTATCGGTCGATTTTGTGATCGACCACCATCAAGTTTAAAACCAAATCCACGTATTTCAATAGGTTTTTCAATATATATTTCATGAATTTTAGCGGGACCCTATTATACATACATATATATGTCTATGAACATATTTTGTTATTAATTATTTTTGTTACTTTGAATCGCATAGGTGAAGGACTTTTTGATTTGATTTTTTCAATTGGCGGTGAAGGGACACTATGTATAGGCTTTCTAATAGGCTCATTTATCGGTTTTTTGATTTCTTCAGGTCTACAAAAAAATTCATTATTTTAATAGAGAAAAAACAAATAATAAAATATATATATATTACCGTCTGATAGGTTCAATTTTGAATGGTGATATTGATATTTCTTCATTATCTGTATTCACATTTTTTGAACGTTTTTGTTCACGTTTTTGTCGCCAATTTTCAACGGCCTAAATATATTAAATTTAAAATTCATTAATTAATCAAAGAAAAAAATGAAATCATATGAGTGAATTTAAATCAGAGAGTCTATTATCTTTCAGACTCACATTCTTCTCATCATCAGTTGCTGCTTTCGTACTTCCACAACCCATTTTACATATACATATACACTTTCGTTTCTTATGTTGTTCACATACTCGTCTTACACAATTCATCAAGCTGATGCTTATATACTTTCTTTTCTCTTCTATGATGAGTACAAGACAATAGGAAGAAAGGAATGCTGTTTTGAGCTAAGAGAAAAAAAAGAAAACGTCAAGATAACAATTGTAATGAGAAACGACTGTTGCTCCTCAATTTCAATTGATGAAAAACCTTGAATATAGTACACACACGCACTTGTGAATAATCTTCAATAAATTCAAATTGTTTTCTACGTGATGTCGAACCATTGATAAGATTATTAACAGGAGGAGTAGATATCGATATTTGATGTCTTGGTATCGAATAAGTCTTCATAGAAATTCTTATACAAAAAAAAAATTGATTTAAGAATGAATTTCAACATACATCATAGAACTACCCATATCCTTTCTTTTCATTTGTACTATTACAACTTTAGGCTTTCTTTTTCTTTTCTTTTTATATTCAAATAAAGTGTATGGTATATATTGAAATAGAAGAGAAAGAATTTAACCTCTTCTTTTGTTCTTCTACGTTTTACTGTTTATAAAGAAATAGTGATCAAGTTATGCGAACGTACGATTGCAGTCTAATCTTACATATATATAAGAAGCCTACAAATTATTTCTTTTTTCACCTTATTCAAACAATAATAATAACAACAACAGCAATAATAATAATAAATACAGACGAGAAAAAAAAATATTTTTCAAAACAAAAAAGAAAAAGGATTCTATCTTTAATCTCTAAAATAAACAAGAAATGATTGCCAAGAGCAAAATACGAAGACAGAAAGAGAAAGAGAGAACAATGAGTATATTGACGTAAGATTAGGTAACACTTTTGTCTTGTTTTTTTGGTTTTCATATGAATAGATTTAATTAGAAAGACTATATCTGTCGCATTTATGTCGATGTTTTACTATATGAAATAATGAAACTACTATCTATAGAATTCTTAAAGTGTTTTATTTATAGAATTAAAATTGAGACTGTTAAAAATAGCTTTTTTTTCCTCATCTCGTTCATAGACGACAGATAAAATATATTATTAATTTACCTTAGACCAATCAACTTCTTCATCATTAACTTTATTTTCATGTGAATTATTAGTTATTTTATAATTTTCTTGTAAACGTTTTCTTGATTCAGCTAATGATAATTGTTCTTGTGCACGTTCAATTAAATCATGATTAGGATGAATTTTAACAAATTGTAATGGATCATTATTCGATTTATTTGCATTTAATGTTCCATTGAAATGTCTTGTTGGTATTGTTGTTGTTGATGCTAATTCATCTATTGAATGTGAACGTCCTTGACGATGTAGTGATGATGTTGAACCACTGTTACCATAAAATTTCGAACTACCTAATGATGTATAATCGGAATCAACTGAACCTTGATCACTATTATCAAATAAAGTAATATGATTTGTTATTGTTGTTGAAGATGGTGATAAAAGTATTGGAGATAAACTATTCGATTGATTTTGGTGTAACATTGACATAATAATAATATATATAAGAAAAAATGGTTTTAAATCGTTATTTTATTGTTATTCATTATGATCTAAATATACAAAACAAATGAATAGATGATCATTTATATTCAAGGATAGAGGGAGGGCGGATCTTTAATAGATTACTATACGTAAGTTACAACTTTATTCAATACAATGAAGTTTTATGTAAATTTATTTCTACGCGTAGGAGATGAAGAACTATTTCTTTCTTTTTTTTTTCTTCTCTATGACTAAATGTATAGTGAAATGTTCACTGCACCATATACATCTATTTATGATAAAAATCAACGTCATCATTAATGTTCTTTTCTGATCGATTTTATGTATGTATATGATCGAAGTATACGATTTATTAGGAGTAATAGCAAGAGGAAAAAAAGAAGAACGAAGGAGTACTTATATTTTACCATCTATAGAATTGTAGATCACCAATGATGCCCGATTGATTTCTTTACCTGTGAGTGTATGCGCGTATGGTTATATTTGAAAAGAACTTAACAATGATGACAGTTTTGTTATTACAACATAGGCACATTTCTAGTTCAAATAAAAGGAGACGAACGAAAATGCGTACGACGATAGAAAGAGAAAGAGACTAACGAAAATTTTTGTATTTATTTTTTGTAATTCAAGAAAGAAATTGGGGGGATATTTTTTTGTAAGACGAAGAAGAAAAAAATGGCAATCGTAAACATTGCTTACTTGCTATTTTAAAGCAATAACGAAAACTAATGATTTCTTTTTCAAGGGCAACAATAATGATGATGATGAATCGTGAATGGCTGCGGTCAATGGTACATTATAAATCATCGTGTTTGTTTTTTTATATACGACCTCCGTCCACTCACTCTTCTGCATTTCTTTGACATTCAATGCACAACAGAAAAAGAAAAGAAAAAGAAAGAAAATGAACGATGGTCGTAGACAGTGAACTAATTTTTTTTCTATTACATCTTTAGTTGTCTGTCTGATCTAAGTAAAAGAGCTCTAAGCACGTTTTAACATCTTGTCTGTCTCACTTTTTCTTTCAACGTTTGTATTGCAACATTGCTGTCGTCGGGTAACAATTGTATAAGAGTATCATTGTCACATACATACATATATATATATACATATATATATATATATTTATATCGTTCTGTTGACTATTGATGATGCATAACGTTGTCGTACGTATATATATACCGTGTGTCTATCGTATCTAAATACAGTTTATCCCGTTACATATCTACAAAATGAGACAAGACAAGGATTCTTTTCTATTATTCAGCACTATTCAGGGATTTCGATGTAGAAACACGATAGAAACTTTTTCTTCTACATATGCATCCAATTAAATGTTAGAAGATGGACATAACGTTCATTTTTTGCTATTCTCTTGCAGACATTTACCAGGAAAAAAAAGAGAAACGATGGAAATGTTCGCTCTTTTTCTCTAATATACAATCTGATGTTCAATACACATATATATATATTAAAGGTCAAGTTAAACTTGTATACACACGTGCTAGACTCAGAGAATAAAAATTAGAAGAAAGGGGTAAGCAAACATACAAACATATGTATAAAAAAACAGTAAACGATCGAGTATATGATTACCCTCAAGTAATCGATGTCAATTTAGACAGCAAACTATAATAACAATGTAAATGTAGTAATCAAAGTCACAATCAATGAATATTCATGTATATCAAACGATTAGTACCTCATCAGTTAAGAACACTAGACATGAGATTATTTGAATAGAAGTGATAAAAATAACATTTGTCTCGAGTAGAAATTAAAAAGATTGAAATATTAAGTGAACAAAGAACTTTTAAATATATGAGTAAAATTTTGATAGGTTAAAAAGACTAACCGTTGGATAAATGAAATAATGAATATGTCAATTGTAGATATATCGATTACCCGACTTCTAGCGTCCTCTGACAATTTTAAAATTAAAAGTTAAATAGCAAGATATTATAGTTCATTGCTAATTTTATTTCAATATAGATTTACAAAGCTTTCATTCACAAAAAATCATTGTATATATAGAAAAAAAGTTCTACAAAACATCTAGGTAAATAAATATTTTTATGACATGTAATAATATTATATTCAGATCTGAGTAAATACTTGATTTGTTGCTTATCAGAAGGATCAATTTAAACTTTAGTTACGTATACTGTTTTTTGTAGACTTCGCTCTTATACAGTATGCGTTGATGAAAAATCATACAGATAGTATGTATCCTATTAGTGATAATGGACTTGCAAATAAGTAAACGAAACCATATGTTCTTCTTCGAACAAAATATTAATAGATAAAATCTATATTCCGATTCATCAATGTGAATGCTTATTATTTTAAACTTAATGAAACAATCTACATCATGAATATGCCTTCAATTAAAAATATTTTTTCAGATTTTTTTTCGGGTGGGCGAAATAAAAATTTTGGATGGGCGTCGTCTAACAGCGCTTTGTTTAAGTCTCCTATTTCGGCTGGGCACCGCCCACTCGCTAAATAAAACACTGAACATCATCAATACTTTTACTGAAATGTATTATTTATCATATCAATAGATTAAAAGGGAAAATAGCCAGACGTCGATAATAAAATGTCGACATCATGAAATACAAAGAAAAGAAGGGTGTGGGTATAAAATAGAGGGATACCCACACCCGCACTCTATACGTCGGCATTTGATCTGTCACCATTTTATCTATCGACATTTTTTTGTCGACATTTGACTACCAAATCGATTAAAAATACGATATTTTTTAAAAATAATCAGAATCTAAAATACTATTAATTATCTTACCGTATTTTTTCTTATATCCAAATAATATTTTCATTTTTGTTGTTAATTATTATTCAAAGAATCGTATTATTATTATTTACCAAATAAATACAAAACACACATAAACACTCTCTGTACATGAGTTTCTAAATCTAAGTCATTAATATCATTATATTATCAAAAGAGAAGAGAAGAGAAAAAAAATAAAACGATAAAGATGTTGATGACACTATTTGACTTTTAATGTCGAAGTAGAAAAACAAAACAAATATAAAGCACAAGGATACGCACACACACACACACACACACACACGCACACACATCCAAAAAACATGCAATGAAAAATCACAGACATGCGAAACAAAAATCATAATTTTCTTGTGATAAAAATTTTTCATTGAAATTATTTTAACCAGGATCATTCATATTTTGTTTTACAAAACCAAAACGTCTTGCAATTCGTCGAAATTTTGACATTATTTCATCTTGCATTAATTTAAATGACATTGCCATAACAATCATACCAAATAAAAGAAATAATGCACACATTGCTGCTTTACCCGCTTTCGATTCTGCAACTGTACCTTTACCTGGTACAAGATCTCCAAAACCAATTGTAGTAAATGTTATAAAACAAAAATAAGCTCCATCAAGTACATGCCAACTTTCCCATTGAGCAAAAAGTAATGCACCCATTGCAATATAAAGTGCAAGAACAGCTAATGTTGCTACAATAGGTACATGTCGTGCTTCTTCATGTTCAGACTAATAAGAAAAATTTTGAAAATTTCATAAATAAAAAAATATTCCTACATCAGTATGATCAAAATTTTGATCTATATCATATGATAAACAACGAACTAATCGTGTCCGACAGAATTGTCGATAAAAAAAATTGACCATCTTTGAATAACTAGTTATAAAAGCATCAGCTAATAAATCACCCGTATATGTCAAACACATGAACATTAAAGGAATACCAATCATTGCATAAATCTACATAAAAAAAATCAAATATAGAAAAATTCCCTAATATAATGAACATATATTATACAATTTAGAATCATTTAAAAAATGAAATATCCGATTTTATGACTTCCTAGACTTATAACTCAATAGAATTGAACGACTGATAGTCAAGGATACAATAATTTAATATTCGTATATAGTGCTGATTCTTATTTATTCATCAACTGACAACTATGTTTTCTCTGCTATAATTTTTTGTTATTTAATATTTGATATTTTTATTATAATGGTTCTATTAAGAGGTAAACAATAGAGACTTCATGCCTGAAGTCTTATAAAATCTGATGAAGTCTCGTGAAGTCTTCAGAAGTCTTCAAAATCGCTTGAAGTTTATGAAGTCCCTTGAAGTCTATGAAGCCTTTTGTAATCTGCGAAGTCCATTAGTCTCTAGTAGTCTTTTGAAGTCGTTCGAAAAAATGAAGCCTCGCTTGTTGAAGTCTCTTAAAGTCTTTCGAAGTCTTTAAAATCTTGAAGTCCGCTGTTACCCTCTTGAGTTCTATTTAATAACTAAAAGACTTAGTATACCATCGTTGCAATTTTGCCTGCAGTAGTTTTTGGTGTAATATTTCCATATCCAATCGTTGTAATAACAGTTGCTGAATATAACATAGCACTAGAGAAAGTCCAAACTTGTATTGTATTTTGTGCTTCTTGTTGTTCATCACTACTATATTGACTTTTTTCTTCTGCACCAAAATATTGTAATAATTCATAATCAATATGTTGTTTCCATAAATCTTTTTCAACATCTATTTGCCAACCATTATTATGTTCATCATGCCGGGATATACCACCACGCCATAAAGCATATTTTAATTCAAATGTTTGATTTAATACACGATTAAATTCTCTATAAGCATGAATATATAATTGATCAACAAAATGTTGACGATTTCGTTCTTTTTCTTCTAAACGTTCTAATTCATAACGTGATTCAATAGCATCAAATATCAATCCACCAAGAATAACATAACCAACTACAAGACCACCTGAAAAGTACACAATCAGTATTATTAATTATACATTGAGTTTTTATGCCTAACGTCTAACATTCTATTGTAATAATTTGAAAATACTTACAGTGTTTTATCTAGTGGAAGGCTAATATGGGACATTTTGTCTCTTTCCCTAGGGGATCATTTTTAACCTCTCGGAGGTAAAAACTTAATATAGACCGTGAGTAATAAGGAAAGTCAAACGTAGGAGTCGATGATAGAAGACAACAGGTCGACATAATACATCAATCTCATAGAAGATAAGAAGTCGACAGAATACTGGATATTGTTTAACCTTCATTATTTTTCTAGGAAAATAGTGTCTTTTTATATTGTTATTTATTTTCCTAAATAAGACTATTTCTATTATCTCGTCAATAGATAAAGTCGTTATTCGAATATTCTAACTTACCTAATCCTAATTGACTAAAAGCAACTTTTGAAACAGTTTTAATAGCATCTTGAATTTTTTGTCTTCGTGTTTTTTCGATTGATATACCATCAGTAATTGATTTTGAAATTGTAAGATTATCTTTTGACTCACTAAAATATGTATGATCATCCGATAAAAAACCTAAATAATAAAAATAATGTATATATTTCTTTTTCAAATATATAAATATATACGTTTGCTTTTAATTGCAGGCAATGGAATGTCTCCTTCTTCATCGAATGATAAAATAGGTGCTTGTATACGGTCATATTTTGTATTACCTGAACGTATCTGTGTTGCATTTGTTGTTCGATCAGTAAATTTAAACTAAATTTATAAGTCAGAAAAACAAACGAATTAATTATTGAATAGTCTATGTAACAAAACAACTAGTCTTTCTGTTTATTCACGAAATGTTATAGAAATGAAATACTACATTTATTTATTAATCATGATAAATTTTTTCGTTTTAATAACTCTCACACGTAACTATAATCATTTATGATTGATGAGTATAATTTCAGAGAAAAAAATAATCTTTATTTCTATGGATATTACGAATAGAACAAGAAAAACGGGTTTTTGTTTTCTACCTTAGTTTTCTCATCAGTCTCATCATTGTTAGGATCATGGTTTATGGAAGTTTTATGTGATTGTAATTTTTTTGTTGCACGACGTTGTTGACGATAAGATAAATATCGAATATTTGTTGTACTTGGTCGAGAAATAGCTGAAGTTGAATGTCGTTTTATATGTAGCCTTGAGGCGAGCATTTTCATAGACAATGGTAATCATATTTCTATTCGTTTTATACTATGTATCTTGACTTCATAAGTTATTGTTTTTGTCGCAAGAAAAAAAAAGCGTTGTAATAATAGGTTTGATGATAATTCTGACGAAATGATGACAAAAGCAATGGGAAAAGAAAAGAAAAAACAACGTTATGTCATAAGATAAGACAATAATATTGGGCGATAGTAGAAGAAACAATAAAAGGATTCTTTTGTATTTGAAGTCAAAATAACAAAATCTAATAATTTTAATTAATGTCATAATATGACGATTTATAAAAATTCTTTTCTTTTTCATTTTTTTAAATACTATTGAAAAAAATAACATTGACAAATTCTATATATATATATGTATAACTGTAAATATATACTCTTTGATTGTAAACAAAGCTTAGAATGGTTATATGAAAGGTCATTTACATGAAGGCTAAGTAATCGAATACATGGTTTTTTCCTTACACTTCAATCAAACAGAAAAAAAAATAAATAAATAATATTTTAAAAGACGAAACTTCGATAGTCATTGATCTATGTAAAGTATACTCAATAGAATAAAGATCAACAAATACAAGAGACTATCTAACTATGAATAATATATGGGAAGATAAGCATATTTTGCACTTGATAAAGCACATATTGACGATACATATAGACAAAAATCTGGTGTATATGACAACTAACAATAACGATTTATCATCTATGATATAGTTACATCAATATATATTTTTCCGTTGATTTCATGTTTGAAAATATGTAATTATTCTATCATAAATTCGAAATATTTTTGTGTTCAATAATAAAATATTCATATTTTCAATTGACATATAATGAAAAATATCTACATTGTAATTCTATTTGCATAACATATGGCATGTTAATTAAATCTTCAGTAATAATGATACTTTAAGTAAGTATCGAATTCTATTTACAATGTTTTTACCATACCTTTTTTTCTGTTTAATTAACGTTATAGTTGCATGCAATTTTAGGAAAAACAAGACTATCATTATAATCAATAACTTCTTTCCTCCTATCTGTTTCGTTCTCTTCCTACACAGGAAATCTTGTATGATTGATAGTATCTCCTAATCAATAACAGCATTCTTAGTATATATATATTTTTTATATTAACAAAAACATCATGTAAACTGATAGTTAGAAATTTGAATATTCTTACTTTATTTTGATGTTGTCGTTTAGCATGAGAGTGATGGTGGTGGTGACCGAGTAACATGATTTTATTTATATAATGTAATACTCATTATATTTCTAACCTCAATCAATTACTTGTAATTCGATATAAATATTATTTGTTTAGTTGATGATTATTATTACCAGACCATTTTGAACAGAATGTCGGTTTTTGGAAAGGAAAAAAACGAACAAGATGCGATGAAGATTCGATATGATTTGTAGAGAATAGAAATAATTATATATATATATAAAACGACTAGGTAATAGAGTAAATATATGAATACCAATTGTGATTGTTGCTCTTCGAAATTATACACCAACAACAACAACACAATAAGTAAATCAAGTAGTAGTCGTAGTGGAAAAATTTCTTCGTTGGTAATATACTTGATTAGTTAGTATACGGAAGGAATGTTCATTGTAATAAGAGTATTCATATTGTTTGGATAAAAAAAAATGTATTTTGTCATGAAACGATTGAATCGTTGAGTACTACAATCGATCATCTTATCATTGAAATAACGAATAATAGTACGAAGAAGTATCTTATTTATTGCTGTTCTACTCAAGATTAAGATAAAATGACATTGAGAGAGGAAGAAAAAGGAAAAAAAACTGATGAGAAAATTATAGTTGTTAGAAAACAACTAATCATTCGGAAATGTTAACTGTGATTATTAATGATAAAAAAAATACGAACTAGTTGATGAAATTATGATAAATTTATCAAACAAAAGATCTATTTATTGAATCACTTAAGATGTCGTTCACATGTCAATATAATATCTATATATACAAATGATTTAAAATCACAATCAAATTGACTAGATTTGTGATAAAGTGGTACTAATATGTGATGAATAAGACGTTCTCAATTGACCTTTTTTTTTGTTTCATCAATAACAAATTGATGTTTTTTCCATCTTTTTATCTTAATAAATAAAAGGACTTTTATGGTTCTAAGATGACACTATTGTCTTGATAGACACCTCCAGAAGAAGATGTAAAACATATGACGGAAGATATCCATCTCATATTACCCTTCAGCACAAATTCGTATATACTTCACCAAACTATTTCTATCTCTTTTTATTACTATGTATTTCATATTTAACTCTTTGGCTCCCGGCTTTTTTTTGAGAGAATGAAGGTTTTGAAAAGTAATGTTTATCAAAGAAATTTCATTTTTTGATAAGAAACAGCATTAATAGTTCGTCTTCGTATGCTAGTCTTTGAAGCAATCAACAATACATAATGACACATATATTGCATAAAGCGTCGAAGATTATGCGATAGGCACATCAGAGTGACAGAAAAATATGGATGGAATGTGAACGAATAAAATGATTAATAAAAAGAAAAGAGAAGAATTATATCACGTTGGTACTATCTAACAAACGATGAGAAGCTGTTCTAAACACTTGAAATGTATAGTATTACGACCTTTATTCGACAAATACATTAGCACATTTTAGTCCATACTACAATGAAATTTTCAATTTGTTTATTCGAATTCTGAATATTACAATATAATATCTAAAGCTTGCAGTAATTTTAAATGAAAGCTGCCTTATTTGCGGAAATTTTTTCAAATAGTACAGCATTCTAGTAGACATGATATTAAAACGCACAGAAAAAAATCATTCTCAGCTTAAAAACTTACTCTTATGTAGATCTTTGAATCAGTTCGAGTCTTTCTATATAGAAACTGTGTTTTGAAAAAAAATACTAAAGAAATCTTACACATAAAAATTATATTTAATGCTGTCGTAGGGTAATTTTTTTATGACCGAAAAGTTTTATAAAAACACAAAAATATACTTGGAATACGACTGAAATTTCCTTCTATAAATCTATGAAGCCACATACATTCTGCTAGAGGAGACATACGCACACATTTCTATGATATTTTTTAGAAAAGTAAATTTTATCATTTCTTAATAGTCCTGTTTCATCACCATATTTACTAAATTATAAAATCAAAATCTATATTATACAAATCTTTTCATTTGAGAAAAAATATATATTATTTTTCAATTATTAATCTATTTTTGAATATAATTCTATTATTAGATTATATTCCGGCAAAATAAGTAATTATTTATGACAAATGAAAATATACTCGTATGATTAGTCATACTGATTTATTATTAATCCCACCTTCTTCCACTGGAAAACTGCTAACCATCTCTTGCTAAACTTCATATAAAAAATAATACTACAAATATGTATTCGATTATCTCCATTAAATATTAGAGTACAAAGTTTATAATAATAAATACCTTTCTTTCATTATTGAATGGATTTATACGATTGGTAACTAATGCCATTATGCTTCTATTCTAATATCTCTAAGTGCATGTCAAATCTTTTCTTATGGCAATCAGTAAAAAATCTAAATTTTTTCTTGTGTTGACATTCAGTAAGTTACCTGAAACTTTTTAGTACTTAAATAACTAATAAATATTCTCTCTTACGTGATAAAATTACAAATATAATTATAAAAAAAAGAACTCTTTTGTATAGATTCATTTTCTTTATTACCTGATATTTATCAAGATCGTCAGTTGACCAATGTTGTTTGTTATGAAGTAAACCTTGACGATATCGAGTTTCACGTAGTATTCGTTCACGATTTTGTCGAAGATGTTGTCGTTTATATTTTCGACTAACTAATGAATCAGGTGTTGATTTATCATCATTCTGATTATGTTCGCGACGCCAACGAAAGATATGAAACATCTTGCTGATATTTTAATATTATTATATTAGATATGTCTATTGTCAACAGTTGTTTGAACAAATAAATAACAAGAGACAAATAAAATGGGCTAAAGCACTAGTATGTGAATGTGTCAATCAATCGTAATTGTGATTGTCATTCTCTTTTCTACAATATTGTTCTTAGTCAAAATATATTGCATCAAAGAATAGAAAAAAAAAATCTTTAGGAAATCAAGCTAGAGGACACATATAACTTATTTTTATATACACTTATTCACAGACAACAAGTCGCTAACGACCTTCCCTTTTTTTCCGATAGTGATACCTATATGGATACTGCTGTGATAAATTTGATGCATTTTTATTATCTACCACGAACAAAATCTAATGATGCTATCAAACAACAATCTCATGGTGTTATCATGTATATAAAAAAAAGAAATTTCAATAGAAGAATTATACTCATAAGTGATATAGAGTAGATCAATATGTATATTTACTAGTATTATTGTCAAAAAAGTATAGTAGGGAAATGATACAAATTCTGCGGATTTATACAATTATTTATATAAAGAAAGTATCTTTCATATGTCTTCTATTCAAGATAATTATTTTTCTTACTAATAGAACAAATCAACAAATCTGTTTTTAAGAAAGAGTATTGTGTTAGAAGAAAGAAATTGATTTATAATATTTGATGACAAAAGACAGACATTATCTGGAGATTCATTAAAAAAAATATTCAAGTGTTAATTTTCTATGAAATATATAGATATATATATATATACATAAAATTTATTCATGACAAGTTGTCAATTACTGAAGAAAAATTCGGTTGAATTATTAACGAATTTTGGGAATATATTCAAGAATAAAACTAATCGAAATAGTCATTATAACTATTGAATAAATTATTATATACAAAAGTTAACATATTTTAGCGCTTGAAGGTTTCTTAATCCAGTTGGATAATACACTAAAATATTTTATTTAATCATCCAAATATACCATTAAGACTGAGTTTTTTTCTCGAAAAATAAATGGTGTAATAAAAGAGAAAATAAATATTAATCAGACTTATGTTTTATACTAGAAACCACAGGATATTTTCTTATTATTATCTAAAGTACTGAGACATCTTTTAATGTAAACATCGTTTAACAATCAATTTAATCTTGTGTTACATATTCATATTATTGTGTATCATTTGTATTATTTTCTGTTCGTTGAATAAAATAATTCAAATTTCATACCTGACATTTTTCGCATGATCTCTGTTCGGTATTTTCTCTTGTTGATTTTTGGAATAGTACATGATCATATTGAGCATTGGGTAAAATTCTGTCATAAGCTTCATCGTGATTATGAACAATACGGCGATGTCGACGTTTATGTCGACGATATCCTGTTCCTGAACCAATATGCATTGAAACTCAATAGAATGCACTCTTATTTTCTTATGTGTCTCTCCTACATATATTCATTGACACTAATAAACTAGAACATTTATTATTTAATCAATATTGCTTTTTTTTTTTATTATTCATCAAATTCAAAACCCTGGGGTCATTCAATACTTTATCTATTTCATTTCTGTTATATTTTCATTTAACCAATTGATCATTTATATACACACACATGAGACATGTCATACTCTCTGTTTTCTTTCTTTCAACATCTAATGATAGAAGCTAAAATATATATAAATATATATTGACATAATACCAGATAGAATACACATTAGTATTATTATAGAAAATGGTTAATTGAAAAAATGATTATCCAAGGATAAATAAACACTCATTAGTATTCTGTTAAAAAATAAAAAAATTTGTATTCAAAGAAGACAACGATTCTGTATAGAACCGAAAACTAATGGTAATTATTATCTCAATTTTTCAAAGGAAATAAAATCATTCATAGTTTTACTATTAAATTAGAATTTTCATTTATGACATACCTTTCCAACAAATGGTAATAAATGCCATATACGAGTTTTGAATTGTGGCGGTGCAATTGATGTTGGTGGCAATTGTAGAGTACGTCGACGAGCAATTACAGGTAAATCAATTTGATCAACTGTATGAGATGATTGTCGTTGTGGTTGATATCGCGGTTTAAGTCGAAAGAAGTGCATGGTTCAGCTATTTATCATTTACAAAAATTATTCAACTACGACTATTAATAAACATAGATAAACTACAAATGAATAGGAAAAGGAAAAAAAATCGAAGAAGTGCCCTGACAAATATATACACACCACAATGCCATCAATAATCTAGTTGCTTTTGTTTATCAAACTTCCTGTATATATATACATGTTATCTGTCTTTGCCATGCCATCTCGTGTTAACCAGAATGAATAAGAAATTAGTAAAAGAACACGATCTATATAGAATTCTAATCAAAACTCAATGTTAATCATAAATATAAAAAACGTATTTTGAACGAAATATTAACATTTATATCTATTAGTATAAATATAGTTTTGGGTTCTATTTTAATACATATATGTATTTAACGAAAAATATACATGCAAGATAATATCTAGTCTCTAATACTCGCGAATGTATTTATTCATCTATAATTATATGAGATTTTCAGCATGATTGCTCATTCGATCTAATAAAATCTTGCGTTAATGACGGCGTATAAGCACAACAAAGGAAAGCTATTGTTGTCTGTACAAAAGATGTCTCGGTTTCATTGCTAATGACGTATATACATTATATTTAAGTAATATGTATCATTACTTTCCTGAAATATAAAAGTCTGAAAAAGCAATAAGATGTTATTGCTTCCAATGGAATATGTACCCTATCCTGCGTGACTTTCTCTATGACATATACAAATGGTATAAATATCAATTGGAAGAATTTGGATAATGTGTAAACATTCATTACGAAGTAATAAAATTAATTTGCCATTAAATAAAGAAAAATATGTAGATATATTGTTGAATTACCTCGAAATCTTATTTTTTATCTGGAATCAAGGAATCGTAATTAATGAAACTAGACTGTATATCGTAGTTCTTCGAAGCGTTATTTATATTATCACACAAAAACATTTGTCGTCCTCGAAACTCAACGAAAAAGAAAAGATCATTTGTCACAAACAATAGTGTATATTAGACATAGAAAAAAAAGATTCTATTTACTTACTGAATCAATAGAATCTAGAAATAAAGAAAAATATTATATTCACATGAAGTAAATGGTCACTGAATATATTCACTGATGGTAAATTTCTTTAGTATATGTCTACTCTCTTAACTGATATAATTTGCTAAAACACACATAATTATTCATTTATTTTAAGCACGTTCGACAATTATTATTTTTCCATATTACTTTTCTTTTTATTTTTTCGCTGATTATATATTCAAAAGTAGTTATCTAGAAGGCGTCATTATTTAATACAATAGATATCATGAATGATTAATTATATACAAATTTTACAATGACAGCCATGATATCTGTTATAAAACAATAGATATAACGAGTGCGCCATAATGAATAATTCTTTCAGTATTTTACGAACATCTCTCTTAGATTAAGACGTATTTATTTGAGTTTTTTTAGAAGATAATTCATCAAATTCTCTACCCTCTTTCAAATGACTATCCTTTATATGTACGATTTTGTGCCGCTCTTTTGTCCACATGCAAAAAAGACTGAATAGATCGGCTTGCAGCTCATGATAAGTTCTATTATATGGGCGAATACTTTATTTCGATATACTGTCAACTTACCTGAAAAACGTCTTTACAGTTTTAATTTTGTTATGTTAAATATTCAGATTTATTACTAAGTTGAATAAAAATGTTTTCTCTATTATCTTCTTATGAGCAGAATGCTTGAGGCGTAGAACGAGAAAGATCGATGTTTTGAAACTGTCTTTTAAGAGGATTAAACTCACAATCCTATCTAAATATCTTGTTTTTAGCTTTGTCGGAAAAAATGTACCTAAACGCACTGAAAAATTGCATTATAGTAAGACTCTGTGTCTGTTCATCTGAAAAAAATGAGATGATTCATTTTATAAAAATGTATGTCTAAAAGTGGGCCATTTTAGAGTGTTGACTCGATATAATCCCATTCTTATTTGTTGAAAGAGCTCTTTTCATACGGTTTTGTAGAGAATTCCATGGACTATCTTCTGATAGAAATTCAAGTAAATACGTCAAAATCTGGGAGAGTCATTCAAGTCGGATGCATCCGTTATATAAGTTAACCCATAAATGTCATATAGTTATGTTATAGCTTTACTTATTATTGCTATCGATCTTTTTTTTCTCTTCTATCTTTTGACATGCATTCTGTATAAATAAATATATTTGTTCTTATTTGCTTGATAGTTACTCATAGACAAGAAGAGAAATAACGTTTGAAAAAATTAACCCTTTTGTTCTATTTACTTATTTGATTGAAGAAAACGGGCTAAACCAAGATCAGTAATAATACAATACTTAAATTTAATTTATTATTCTTCTGAATTAATTTTATTCATATGTGTTCTACTGTTGTTAATATGAAGAAAAAGAAAAAAAAAGAAAGAAATTCTCTATAATATTCATTAAAAATATTAAATGTCAAATATTGAAGTAAATATTTAAGCATTTGGTGCGAGTAAACGACGAATAACTGGATCATTCTTACATCTAATACAAGAAAAAAAGAATAAATGTATTAGAATAATCAGTTTAATCTAACTTACCCAGCAATAAATTCCTGTTTATTTAATTTTTTATCACCACCAACATCAAGTTTGGAAATGATTTCAGTAGCTCGTTTTTTTGGATCACGATCACCTTTACGATCAGTTTCACCAACAAGATCATACTATAAAAACAAGACATTCTTTTTATCTCAAATAAATATTATAGAATGGTAGTTTTACCATAGCTAAAATCATTTTAGCTAATTCCTTTTGATCGATGAATCCATCATCGGATATGTCATACCTAATAATAATAATATGAGGATAATATATTTCAAAAAAATGAAAATCTTACATATCGAATGCAACTGAAAGTCGATCATCAAGATCACCATGACTAGTAGCTGAGATAGCTAAAAGAAATTCATCGAAGTCAATTGAACCATCATCATTTTGATCGAATGTATCAAAAGCAAGTCTAAATATCAATAAAAAAAGTCCTTAGAAAGTTTAATCAATATATATTCTTACTTGCAGAAGTTATCTGCTTTGCCTTGGGGATAAAATTGTTTGTAAACTTCAATAAATTTCTTTTTATCAAGTCGACCATTAGGACAATCACGAAGAAAACCCTATAAGTAAATAGATATGACGAAGAACATATATAGCTATATAAAATTAACTAACAGCATGCCATTCACGGATTTCTATAGATAACAATAATAAATATAATAATAAAAAATATATATTTCATTTACCTCTTTCTGTATATTTTGTATTTGCTCGAAGCATAGCAATTTCTATTAAATATATAACAGATAATCAATTTTAAAATTATAATATTTTTTAATGAATACTAACGTTTTGCTGTTAATTCCGTTGAACCAGTTTTTTTTCCTGCTTTGTTACCCATGTTAGTTGCAGTAAATCGACTATTTGAAGAGAAATATTATAACTACTTTTGCTTTATCAGTAGATGAAAATCGACTCAGCTATACTGGCAGGTGTGTCGTTGATATTTATACAAGCGAGAGAAAGAGAAAACTATTGCCCTTTTATATATATATGTAAAAGAGGCAAGAACAACAAAAATTAGTAATCCAGGTTATAATGCAAGAAAAAGTGTGTATATTTAGAAAGAACTAATATAACTGTGAATCATCTTGATCAATAGAATTCGACAATTTGTCAATATGTATATATATGAAGAAATTAGATATGCAGTAAAAAAGAAAAAGAAAACGAACAGAACTTGATTTTATTACTTTCGACATGATGTAAAAGAAAAATAAATCGACATACTATAGTTTGCCCTTTATTTTTTGTTTTTTGATAAGATGAATAAGAATGTGTACTGTTTTCGATATTCTTTCTCTAATGATATATTAATTTATACGAAAATAAGTAATCGATTCTTGGCATACTATTTTCAAATTTTGATTGAATTCATTAACAAATATAACCAAACAAAACTTATAAGCAATATTTTAAAATGAAGGTATTGAATAACATCTTCCGTTATTAGTAAAGCATATGGAGCTATTTTTGGAATATTTTGAGAAACTGAAATGTTAAACTCGTCTATTTCTTCGATAGTCACTAATGATATTAGTACTTTAACAGCAACATTTCGTATAACTCCACATTTTTTAAAGGCTAAAAATAATAGCTTCACGTGTTATCCCTTATCAAATGACACGGGACTCATTTTAATGCAAATATGCAAAAACTTTTGGACGAATCGAATTTCAGTGTATTACGTGGGATATTAAATATATCTATAAGAAGTTGTTTTATGGCTACTAATGAATCATTGTTTAAAGCTATAAAGTCTTATTCATTCAAAGATTTTATTTTAATGTCATGTTTAGAAAAAAAAAGATAACTGCGGAGAATATCATCTTATTTTTTCAAAAATAGAATGATATTATCAGCAGTTATCTCTCTTTTCTTTTCATATCTTTCTACTGCTATTTCTTCTACATGTCTTGTTTGTTGACTTTTTACTAATGTTCATATACTTTTATATTTGACCAAGGAAATGTTTCTGTTTGGGCAGTATAAGTAAATATTTACTGTATAATACGATCGCTCTTACATTTAATCAAAAACAAAAATCTGTACGTGATTTTAAATTTTATCGATGATGTATCTGATCAAAACTAATATATATATACTAGAATTCTTAACATTTATTAATTAATTAAAAAAGTTTGTATTAAAATTTAAGTAAATCGTGCGAGTGATAAAAATTCTTCGCGTGATTTATGATCGTCACGAAAAACTCCAAGCATAGCCGATGTTGTTGTACGTGAATTGACTTTTTGAGCACCACGCATAACCATACACATATGCCTTAAACAAAAAAAAATATCCTTAAAAGTAATCATTTAATTATTTTTCTTACGCGCATTCAATAATAACAGCGACACCTCGTGGTTGAACTGCTTCTTGAATAGCTTCAGCTATTTGTCGAGTTAAACGTTCTTGAACTAGCAAAAAAAAATAAAACGATAATTCTTGATAGAATTATATTAATATAAATTAACCTTGAAGACGACGACTATATACTTCAACAATTCTTAAAGAATAATATAGAATATTAAAAGAAAAAATAAATGATTTTTACCTAGCTATTTTACTTAATCCAATTACTTTTGCATTGGGTAAATAACCAACAGAAACTTTACCAAAAAACGGTACTCTAAAATAAATCATCAATAAAAAAACAACTATATAATTATTAAAATCATACAAATGATGTTCACATAATGAATAAATATCAATATCTTTAACAATAACCATATTTTCACATTTTTCTTCAAATATAGCATCATTTAATACATCACTTACACATTGTTCATAACCTTTGGTAAAAAATAACATCGCTTCAGCAGCTCGTTTTGGTGTTTTTAATAAACCTGTAAATAAAAAAAAATATTTTATATCAAAAAACAAAAATATTTACCTTCACGTGTAGGATCTTCTCCAATACTAATCAATATATCTTTATAAAATGAAGTCATCGTTTTAAGACGATTATCATGTACAGTTTGAGTATCATTTTCACGAAGTGCATTATCATCAGAGATATTTTGTCGACGATTTCCATTATGCAAGTCATATTGATCAACATTTGATTCAGTTAATATTAAAATCTCCTTATTTTCTTCTTGATTTTTAATACCATTAAAATTATAAAATACATTTGTTTTTTTATCTTGAGTTATATTAATACAATCGCAATTAGAAATCATTTTTCTTCAAATTATCTTAAAAAAATTTATCTATTGTATGATTTAAATAAACCCTTTTCTCAACTATACACGTCCGTCAGTTATACGTATTCATCGATAAACATAAAGCGATTGAGACAAAGAATGTTATTGTTATTCTCGATAAACGTTGAAACGTATTCGTTCGAAAGAAATATATTATGGAACACGTGTAGATATATATATTTACTTAATAGAAAACATTCAATGTACTTCTTTATCGTTACATTTGCTGAATTAAATATTTTATTCTATTCCTGTTCATCAAATCAGATAGATAGTTATACTGTTTTTTCCTTGGTTAAAACAAATCCGAAGTAATAAAATCATTTGAAATTGTACAAGTTTCCGAGAATTTTATTTTTTGGTTCATTTATTAATTAAAATTTTCAGATTTCTTATTTATCGATTAACCCTTTTCGTACCATAGCTCAGCCAATGGATGAAACTTTGTTGGGACTTTATATTTAACATGTATATTGTATATTATGAATATTTTCATCGAAATTTTTTAAAGAACCTTCGATGTCATTCTCGATCAATACCTGTGCCCCCCCCCCCCCCCCTGTGGCACGCTTGTACTTAAAGGGTTATTAAAATGATAAATACCGCGCGAGTACAAGCATCTACATGTCCTCTATGCCACAATGGCAAGTGCAGTTCGATATTGTTTCTCATTCGTAGTTTATTCACAGCTTGTCAAATTCTAAAAAAATGGGGCTTATAGGCCCCTTTGGTATGTAAAGGGCTAAATCATAATAAACTGATTAGAAATATACCCACTTTAATAAATCAGTGTTTTATCCAGCGGGTGGTCACCGCCCACCCTGAATTTCGATTCGTTCATCCGAGAAAACGAAATTTCATAAAATGATGTTTTTTTCTGGTTAAATGATATAATAAACTGAAAATTTTATTAGTATCGAAAGACAAAAAAAAAAGAAACGGAATGTTTTGATTTTACCATACAGAAAAACAATATTAGTAATGAGATAACTAAATATCAAAAACAGTTACTGGTTAGTAATGAGATTCACAAACGAAAAAAAAATAGATGAGCTTTTTGAGAAAATAAAAGAAAGACATGATTATGAATAATAAATAGGAAAAAAAGATGTATAGAAAAACGAGAACGAATTTTTAAGCAAATATTGATTGACTGCTCTTCGATTTAAATAGTGTATCTTCTTCATTATAATCTTCCGAATCACTTGGCATTGCATGAGTGTTTCGAACGACTTTATATCCATTAGAACGCGATAATAATGATGAAGAATCAACATCATCTTGAGATAGAGGTTCATATCGTCGAAAACCAACACGTGCATAAGGTGATATTGATGAGCCAGCACAGCAACGTAAATAGATAACAATACTACCAAATACCATAGCTAGAGTTAATGCTAGAAGAAGAAAAACACATTCAAATCTATGTTTATTAGTAAAAAAAGGTTGATTTACGAACCACAAATACCAGCAATAATAAGGAAGAGTGGTCGATGACGGATAAATTCTGTTGATTGATTATAGATTTCTTTTATTGTTGATGCTAATTGACCACTATTATAGGAATCATTGGATTTTAATTTAAATTCAACATAAGTTGATGATTGATTAGTTACGATAATATTTCTTTTTGTTTCAGATTCATATCTATGAAATAATTTTATAAATAAAACATATTTATATTCAGTATAACATACCCAACACGTTCAGCTGTTATATCGTATACACCAGGTGATAATATACGAAAGAAATCTCCATCACGATAAGTTGTTACATTATGTTCAATATTATGTATATGAATTACTACACCCGACACCGGTACTTGTGTTTTGGAATCAAAAACAAAACCACGAATGCCATGAACAACCTTAATATATATAAATGATATGTATGTTGAAATGTTTAAGGATACTTACTTGAGTAACAAATGCTAATAAAGCTCCTTTATTATCATTCCAATAATTTTGTAAATCATTTTCATTTGGAAATTTATCACAACCAACTTCTATTGTTACTTCCATATTCGAAGTAAATACATATGACCAATCTTGCATACCACCTTCAATAACATACCAATCAGCTCCATTTGTTATTCCATCTTGAAATCGATCACATGCCTCACCTTTATACATTTTCAAATGTGCTTGTGAATAACTTTTAGCTAACATTCGAAATGTTGAATCGTCTGGTGATTTACTTTCATGATCAATTGACTCTTTTACTTTGTTATCAAATGGATAATTAGCAACAAGTGAACCACCATGTAAATTTCCTGATAAAACAAATGGATAAATAAGTGACCAATGCATCGCTGCTCGAACTTCCGGTTGAAATTTATTTGGATCTTTAGTAAATTTATCAAGACGATTATTATTATTATTAAATTCTTGTTTTGGTCGAGCAATATCTTTTTTTAATGATGATTCAAGTTGAATAGCAGGAAATTCTCGATTTAAATCAAGATGATTTGCATTCAAACGACCCATTCCTAAAGCATGAGCCGATTGTTTATATTCATATTCAAAACCATCAGGATTTAATGTTGGCATTATATGAATACGAACCTTAAATGAAAAAAAACATTGTTTTTTTATTGTAAAATAATTCATCAATTAAAAATTTAACTTACATTATCGACAAGTTTCGTAATATAATCATTTGATTTATAATTTATACATAAATATTCAATGAAACGAATTAAACATTCACGTCCGACAGCTTCGTCACCATGAATATTTGCGATATATCGAACTTCAGGTTCACCTGCTTCGTGTACAAGTGGATGATCACTAATAATCATAACCCATAAATCACGTTTTTCAGCACTTTGTCCTATTGTATATAATGTTGTTATATGTGGATATTTCGTATTTAATTCTTTTAATTTATTAACCATTAAATCATAAGTATGATATTGAAATTTTTCTTTTGGTTCCATTAAATTACCAAGTAATTCATGACGAGAATCAGTACTTAATTTCCGTGCATAATTTGATAATGTGTTATAAATACTATTTATTGACGAAACATCTTGTGTAGATATTGGTCCATCATCATTTCCGATTTGTAGAGGAAAATCGAGACGAAGAGCCTAGAAAAAAATGAAATACGAATTAAAACATTTCATATTATTTTACTTACACTTGTTATATTTTCATTAGTGACATTGACATTATATTTTGTTTGTGATAAATATCCTGTTGCTGTGACTGTTATATTATACAAACCGGGTAATAATAAACGCCAATAAGCACCAGATTGAACACTACGAACGGCATGAGGAATACTTTCAATTTGAATCAATGCTCCAACTATTCCTGTTGTTGTTTGAACATCACGAATAAAACCTTTAATACCAAGATGACTCTAAAAAAAACGAAATCATATACGAAACAGAATATCTTGAAAATTATGTACCATTTCCATATAAGTAAGAAGTGCTTCTCTATTATTATCCCATTCTTTTGTAAGAGTACCATCCTTTGCCAATGGATATTTACAACAACTTAATTCGAATGTGATTTCAAATGCATTGCTATGTAAATAATTAAAATCTTGCATACCACCTGATACATCATACCATGCAGCACCATTTGTTATACCGTCTAAGAATTCTGCACCGCAATCTAAACCTAATAAAAACAATCTATGTATTTTTGACGAATCATTTATTTTTAGTGGATTTACTTTTACTCATTGTTAAATGTTTATTCGAATAAGTATGTGCTAAAAAACGAAATAATGAATCATCAGGTGATCGACCATAACTACTAGAAGTATTATGTATTGTTTCATCATATGGATATGAAGCAACAACAGAACCACCATGTAAATTTCCACTAAGAACAAAATTTTCTTTTAAAATCCATTTCATAACCGCTATTGTTTCTTCTTGTCTTCCATAAAAAAGATCACCAATTTTACCATTAGCCATAGAATTTAATGGTTTATATGGTGATGGAAAATCTCGATTAAGATCAACCCTATGAGAATTTTCTCGACCTGATTCACCAACCTTATCACATGAACCTTCGACAGCTTTTTCAAAACCATCCTAAAATGAAATTTCAAAGATAAAAAAAAAACCTATTTCTTATATTTTAAATTTATACCGGATTCATACTGGGCATTATATAAATATCTGTGGTTGTTAAAAGACGATTGATACGTGTATCAGATTTTGAATTTAATAATAAATAATATATTAAAGCAATCATCATTTCTCGTCCTACAGCTTCATCACCATGCATATTGGCTACCCATTTAAATTTTGGTTTTAATAATTGAAATTCATCATCATTATTAAGTGGTAGAGGTGATGATAGATGTGCTACTAATAATTCTCTTCCAGTCGATGTTTTACCAATACTAGATACTTGAGCTATTTTAGAATAATTATTTGCCCATTGATTTAAAAGTTGATTTAACTCAGTATATCGATGATATTGTTTTAATAATTCATATACAGCTGTATCTTTTTCAACTTTTAATGGTGAACGTTGACAGAAAATATAGGATGTGTATAATAATAATAGAATCAACCATAGAGAAGAACTGCTTATATACATGATGGTCTAGAAAATATTCAAATGAAAATAACTCAAAAGATATTAGTGTTAATTTCATATTTATGAATGCAATTAATAGTTAATACTCAACAATTCAAAAACAAAATCGAAAAAATGATCGTTCGAAAATCTTATGATCAATAATAAACGAATAAGTTTCGAAAAATAAAATGAATTTTTAAGTAGAGTATCGAAATTTGAAAATAGACTTATACTGATTGCTTCATACTAATTAAGTGGACCGATTGTTGTGAGGATATATGCAGTTATTTGTACGTGTATATGTTTCTATTTTATATGTGAGATGTATGGGTATATTCGTTAGGATTTTTCCATATACATGACATATATGTTTATTCCTTTCGTTCTTGGTTTTTTCCAATACATACATATATACTTCCGTTTCTATATATATGTATGTATCTATGTCTCCATCTTTCTTGCGTTCTCTCTTTCGATTCACCTCCTGTTTATTCTAATAAAGAACTCATATATACCTGGTTATATATACCTTCCTTCTTTGAATTCTGACGACGTGACGATATGAAAATAATTATTATATAATTACAAAGAAATGAGTACATTTAATCACTACTTGATATACAGCTTTAGTTGAAAATGTTTGAATTATATCAAAGTCAGAAAATCATGGGCAATATGTTAATTATTATGATCGTCAAATCATTGGCATTTTCTACTTTTACTCGATACACATTTAACTGATATGATTCTGTTTCAAAAGTGAATTATTTCTCATACCTGACAATCAATAAAATGAAGATGCCGGAGTTGGGGATTCCTGAATTTTGCCAACATACTCATAGAAAATTCGCCAGTGTCATTATATGATTACACATGTGTAAAAATAGCTCCCGGTAACTATATTGAGGAGTTTAAACTATGGTCTGATTATACGAATCTTATGCTATTACAGTTGACGAAATATCCTAGTGACACTAAGTCTGGAGTTATCTATTGTATATAGACATAGAAAAATAGTAAACTATGTTCTTAATTCCAGGACTAGGATATATTAGAACGAATGAATGAAAAGTGTTGTATTACAGTCTACCAATAATAAACGAGTATTACATAGAATTTGAACTTTAATGACCTTATTCATATTTATACATTAATAATATTTCGTAGGCTATTTTCTATATCACATTAATATTGAACAGTTTTATAACATACGTTATAATTTTTCATAACATGCAATAGAGAGAAAAATCATCTCCAAATATATTTTTTTTGTATTTCAAAAAATCACTTTTTTTTTCTTTTTTCAAAGATCACAACAAAAAAAAACTTTCTCTAGATTAATACACAGGAAACAAATAAGCACATACACAAAACAAAAATTGACCTAGTACAATACATACACACACATATGAGAAAGAATATACAAATGTTTTTCTTTGTTTTTTTTTCCCAAAGTAAAAAAAAACTTCTATCACAAAAAGCAGAGAACACCGGTGGATCCCTGAGACTATCAAAATATTTATTCATAAAGTCTTTGTAAACGTGTTCGAAGATCTCTATCATCTGTTGTTGGTAATGTCATATTACTGATTGCTGATCGAGGAGTATTTGCTATCGAACGTGAACGTAAATCTTGTGCTGAATACAGTCTTACGACAGGTTGATCAGATTGTTGAGTTGTTATTGGTGAATCAAATGAATTTGAATGATGATCATCAAAAAGTAAATGTCGTTTCGGTGTTGGCGGAGAATGAAGAACACGAGGTGTTGATGATATTTGCTTTGTAATTATTGGAGGTGCTGTTGTTGTTGATATCGAAGGTTTACGATTTGCTAATCCATAGACAATTAATGCTAATGATGCACATAATGCAAGACTTGCTAATATACGTCCAATTGGATTATCAATAAAACGTTTTTGTACTTTAATTGGTATACGTTGATTTTGTCCAGTTAAAGTATTTTTAATATCAATATAAATTTGGTCTTGATTATTTGTTTTAGCACCATGACGTAATTCAATATTATATAGAAATGGTTCGGTAGAATTTTTTTTAACACGTACAATAGATGGATCAGATGATTCTAATTGTAAATATTTTTCATTTATTGGTAATGTTGATACAGATATTGAATTAAATGGATGTTCTTCAGAAAGATATATTGATGATGACGAAGATAATTTAAATTTTGGTTGATAAGGTATAATTAATTCATTCGATGTTACATGATATGGTGTTTGAATAATTAAACGTAATGAATCATCATATGTACTTGAATCATGTGATGATTTACTAATTATTTGACATGCCCAACTCATCTGATCAAGATCAAATATCGGTTGAGTTTTAAATAATGTTGAAGCTTTAGGTTGTTTCGCTGTATTATTAACAAAATCAAGATGACATTCAAATAATGGTCGAAGTGTACGAGATGATTGTGCATGTTCAAGTCCTTCACGATAACATGAACCATGAAGATTAGTTTTAGAATTTGCACCGAATATCACAGGATAAGAATATGATTTACCTAAAATAATGAAGTTATCCATAAACGACATGTATAACATCCACTAGATTTTCATCTTTACGAAAATAGAACCCGAACCACTGATCAATTGAACCTATTTCTTAGATATTTATTCGTTATTAGAATTTTTTAAATTGAAACCAAGAGGAAACAAACTAACTGCCTATGATTTCTTGTGATTTCTAGTATGAAAATCAGTTGAGAATGTATGTGGGTGTGAGTGGTTATGGGTGTAGGTGGGTGTCCGTATCGGTGTGAATACTGTATTCGCCTGGCACCCGCACTCACCCACACTCTTTTGATTTCTTGTATGGAAATCAGTTTGTCTCCCCTTGACTGAAACTTAGTGTCAACTCGTTAAGTTCTTAAATATTAATAATTATTTTTTCATACCTTCTTCGCCATCATATAGAAAGTCATTTGTTCCTTTATATAATTTAATTTCATTTGGTACTTGTACATTAAATCGTTCACTTGTTATTGTTTGTCCATCAATTTTTAAATGTAAATGACGTTCACCATCAATAATCATTTGTCCAATACCATATTTTGAATCAACATACATTCCATCATCACCAGTCCAACGATCTTTATTATTTTCATCATTATTTAAATTTGATTCAAAACATACAATATCACCAATATAATATGTTTGTTTTAATGGAGATATTGATGTTTTTGGTAGAACAAAACCACTATTTGATTGTACGGGTAAATAAGCACGTAAATTTTCTAAACCACCATCAAAAACAAGAATATTTGAACCATTTTTCAATGAAACAATTTCATATGTTTGAGTATTATTTGAATTAGTCGAGATCATATCATGACGATAAGAATATGTATTAAGAGAAATTGATGTTGCATCAAAACTATAGAAAAATAAAAATAAAAGATTACTAATATGAAAGAAAATATCTTAGATAAAACTTGTCTTGTAAGAAATCGATCAATGACTGACTACGTTTCTTCTACAAGGAGTTGAATAGATTAGTATAATAAATCTTACCGTCTGCCTAATTCATCATGATAAGAAACCGTTAATGGAAGTTTATAATCCACTGGTATTGAAGAAAATAAAGCTGAAGTTTCTTGAGGTAAATAACTTTGTAAAAGTATATAATGGATTGGTTTAACTTGTACAAGATAAGCACCAACAATTGATGAACTAAGAGATTTTTTTTCTTGTTTGATTCCACGATATTTCATATATAGAACAGCTTCACCATATTGATTTTGATCTGTTACGAGTGTTTTACTTTCTGCATCAAAATGAATATTTTTTGATGATGATAATAATTCAAGTGTAATATCATTTGGTATATGATATAAATTTAAACGAGAATTGGGTCCAAGTAATATTGTACGTGTTTCATCAAAATGATTTAAATAAAATGGTTCAAGAATATTTAATTCAATTGAATTTGATATTTCATGTGAAGATTTTAATAATAATTTATTTAAATTTTTTGAATTTGTTGATAAACGAACATCAATAGTAACACGACCAGTATTTAATGTTTCAATATTTGTTACGAATGTTCGAGTATATGATGATATATTACCAATAATTGGACGAAATTGTGCTAGATGAGTATTTGTTAATGACCATGTAAAAACAAGAGAATGAAGAAAAACATCCGTTATCACTATTGGATTTTTCTTATGATCATATGGTAGAACAGTTAATGGAACAAATTTATTTGGTAGAACTTCAGTTGTTGGTATATGAAGACGAATAGAATGAATTTGAACAACATTAATTGAACAGAAATCTTCACCATAAACTACAGACTAAAATCAAAGAATAAAATGAATTAATTAATAATAAACATGTTTTTACAAGTTATATTAACAAAAGTAATTCAATGAATAATTCATCATATAATCATAATAAAATAAACAGCTCTTTATAGCGCGATAGAGTCTCCCTTAGTTAGGCATATTTTAATCTTCATCTTTCTTAAGATCATATCGTCATCACCATTCTTCTCATATATATTTTATCTCTGCCTGTGTCTTTTGATCTCTGTAGCAGAGTTAGAACTGGATCAGCTGGTTCGGTTGGAATTTCCAGACCGGCGTAGATCAGTTTCTTATCAAATTTTAGAGTGTAAAAACTAAGTTAGTGTATTTTGCTCGTTTTTATTAATTTTCATGACTTCAATGATCAACAGGTACGAACCTAAACGCTGTTAACTGACAAATTTATAGTCATCATTAAACCTCTAAGTCTGAACTGTGGGCTCTCGCTTTCTCATCGCATGTGTGAAACTGAACTGACCGATTTTTATCGCTCAGATCAAGAATGCCGACTAGCCGGCCGAAAAAAATTGATCGGTTCCAGTTCTGCTCTGTATACGATCTTCTCTCTCTGTCTATCTTGTGGTTTTCTGATCATATATATAGTGGATTGATTCTTGAATAAAATACTCAGGATCCAATCGATATAAACGTAAAGCCTACGGGACTTTTTTACATCGCCCATTATGCGGAGGTAGGTATGCACTAGTTCCAGTCCTGACTGATGAACTGAGTACCACGCGGACTGGACACCCAGTCTACTGGAACTGGCACATATCTATGCGGAGGTACCCTTTCTATAAAAGCTCATTTCTTTCGCTTTATAAATCTTACCTCTCCTAAAAGTGGATCGATTCCAATTGATTTCGCATGAATAACTGCATGACCAATATGTTTAGTTTTAAAAATATTATTTGTTTCTAAATCTACAATATTTGTATCATTTGTTAACCATTCAATTGTTGTTCCTGATAATTGTGAACCACCAATAATTTTTAATTGAATTGTTGATAATGGTAAAACATTTAATTCACGTGGTTCAATACGTAATTTTTCATAGACTTCAAATTCAATTAAATTACTTTTAATATGAATTGTATGAAATCTTAAATTTGTTCGTCCAATATCTAATGTATGAATTCTATATGCAATGGTTTGATGATCAATATTTGATTTCGGTTCATATTCAATAAATAAAATATTTGGTTTTCGACTTTGTTCAATAACTATATTGATTAAATGATAAATATTTGTTAAATTAAATAAATTTCCATCTATATCCATAGCTTGAACATAAACCAATGACGTTGTATTTAATTCTAATCGACTACGACCAAATATTTTCAAATGATCTATATCAGATATAATAACATCGAGTTTTTTCTTTGATGATGGTAAACATTGATCAATAATCATTAATGTTGTGTGTCCAAAATTTAATGGTTTAATATAAACTAATCGTGGTTTATCTTCTGTTATAATTAAATGTATTAATGGATTAGTTGCTAATTCATTTGTTTGAAATTTAAAATAACCTGAACCACCGGAAATTTCTAATGGTGATAATGATTCATTAATATAAATTAATTTAACAGAATTTAATAATTGTATATTGGAAATAAATTCAATTTCAATTTGTTGTTCTATTTTATCAATAGAACATTGAAGTAAAATTTTACCAGGCTTTTGTTTTGGAATGATTTCTAATGGATTATTTAAACGAAGATCAGCAAGATCTTCGTTTGATTTTATTGAACAATCAAGTTTTAATGAAGTAAAATTATCAAATGGAATTTGATTTTCATTATAAGCAATGATTTTTACCGGTAAAATTTCATCAAAATAAGTTATTATATAATCACGATTTGATAATGGACATTGTGAATTAAGTATGGGTTCAAATGAAAGTGAATGAATTGTTGATTGACATGTTATATCAATAGATATTGTTGATTGTATTGGACAAAGATTTTGTTTACTGACAAGATTTTGTTTTGTTATATGATATTGTCCATGTTGAATAGGTTTAACACATTTAATATGTAATAAATTTGGATTTGTTGAGTCTTGTTTGAATTCAACATGATGATCAATTGGTGTTATATCATATTTTATTGATTCTTGATCATGAATATGTGTTGGACCATGAGATAATTGTAGGGTATATCGAGATTTTGTTGTTAATAATAATTGATTACGATTAATATGTAAATTTTCATAGGCACTTAATTGTATGGTTTGTTGTAGATTCGATTTTTTAAGATTAACTCGAATATTTGTTGAACCAATTTTAAGTGGTTTAAAAATGAGAAGTGCACATGATTGATTTGTATGTTCATTTGATGGAATAATACCTTGATATTGAAATATATTATTATCAATAAATATATCAAAATTAAGATGTGAACAACATGTAAGTGCTTGTTTTTTATAGAATAATTGTATTGGTAAATAAAGTAATGAATTTAATTCTGTTTCAACGGGACATGCAAATAAATGAAATTCATCTGGTTGAACAACTTGAACTGAAACTGTAGCATTTAATTCAGGAGATTTCTTATCAAATATATCAATTGTTGTGGAATTTAAAGATGTCTGTTCCATTAAATCACCGGTTGAAGAAACAGTAACTAAAAGAAAGAAAATTAGGATAGTAATGATTCGGCAACAAATAAATAGTATCTCGATTTGAAGTTTATCTTTAGCTACGTGTAAATCAGGAGCGTACCGAGTAGGGAACTGCGGAGTACTCTGAAATCCGATTATGATTCCACCGGAGTCGGAGTCGGATTTCAGGATCAAAAAAGTTGGTTCCACAGGTTCCTAGAAGTAGCTATTTTCGTTAATGAAATGTCGGAGTTTTTTTGGAGTCAGAGTTAAAAAATAAAAATTCTCAGAGTTGGAGTCGAGTTTTGAAGCCAAAAAAGTTGACTCTGCAGGTCCCTAGTACCGAACGGGAGGCGTGCGGGGCGTAACACTCCCATCCTGCCCGCGACATCTCAGTACGCCCCTGGTGTAAATCGTATATTATCAGTCATTTTTTGTTTGAAAACTTACCCACACTTGTATCTCTTGATGTAAAAGTATAATCTCCACTACCACCCAATACTTTAATTGGACAATAGGGTGTTTTTATATCTTTAGCTGCTGTTTTTTCTGGTAAAAGTACATGTTTCGGTTGTGCTGATAAAGGTAAATAAACTTCAAACCATTGTTTTGTTGATGCTGTAATTGGCATTTCCATAATATCATTATGTTTCATTCCATTAAGATGAAATTCTAATTCAAATCTTCCTTGACAATTTGGTCGAAGAATATATTGTGTACCATTTTGATATAAAGATTTTAATTTTAAACAAGTTTTATGATGTTCACTTGGAATTGATGCTGATAAATCTATATTATCAGTTGGATAAATTTTTCTACCATTAACATCAAACATCTCAACAGTAATAAGATAATATGTACCAACTTGAAATATCCATGGTCGTGTAGAATTTGTTATAGCTGATAAATAACCAATATTAACAATACGTATCATAAGTGATGTTGGTTCATATGTATCATTATCAATTGCTTTCATATTACGATCAATTAATTCAACACGTGATTGTTCATCAGGATGATCTGTTGCAGTAAATAGAAGTGTTTGATCATCTAAATATCCAGCATCATTATTAATTAATTTAACTTCATAGAGAATGCGTGTTGATGGTAAATCAGTTATATCCGTTGATTCTTGTCGTTTTATTTGATAGAGACGAAATGCTAAACGTGAATATGGTAGTAAATAAACATCTGTTGATGGATAAAATTGAACATTAGCTGAAACAGATAAACGAACAGGTTTTGTTCGAATACCATGATAAAGATCATTATCAATAATTTCAGCTTGTACAAATGCTGATCCCGTACGAAGACCTTCAAGAAGAATTTCATATGATAATGAACCATGCGATTCAAGATTTCGAACTGTTTCACTCATTTCATAAGATGAATCAGTTAAACGAAGTATACGAATGACTTTAGTTGCATCAAGTGTTGTACTTGTTGATTTTTTAACACCTAAGATAAAATAACAGATATAGTTTTGTACGACTCAAAGAATATTTGCTTATAACATACTTTGATCATCAACAATAGCAGCATTTAATAATCTCCATTCATAAGAAAAATGTTCTATCGATGAAAATGTTGATCCATGTTGATCATGTGCACGAAGTTTAAATAATTCCGGTGCATCTTCTAAATATAATCGTGTTGTTGTATAAACAATTTCAATAGTTTGAATTTTATCAATAATAACATCACATCGAACTGATTGTCCAGTCAAAACATCTCGAGCATAAACTGTTGCACTTGCACGTAAGGATTGTTTTGTATGTGCTATAACATTCGCATGGAGTGAACATTTTTCACCATTTTTTATCGAAAATGGTTCTAATGGATCAATACGAACAAGATCTGGACGTGATGATGACCAAAGAAAACAACCATCCGTTGCTTCTAATGTAAAATTTGTTTCATGTCGTGGATGAAATGGTAGCAAAATTTTTGGTTGACTCATACGAATAGCAGCTAAAGTTAAATGAACTAGCAGAAAACCAAGTAAATATCGAAACCATCCCATTTTCTTGTAATCTGAAAGGTAGAATAATGATTTGTTTTGAAGCTATCGAAGAAAAAAAAACGAAAGAAAGAACAGCGAAGGTGAAATTTCACATTATCCAATTAAAATATTTTTTAACGATACTAGCGACAAATTTTGCAATATAAATATTAATAAATGTAAATATTAGATTTCTTAAGAATATGTATAGAAAAAAAGAATTAGGAAATTAATTTAAAATTGAGCAGTCATTTGAGAGTGGTTAACAAGTAATGGATTTTTAAACGAATAGAAAAAATTTCGTATTAGTTCGATAAAAATCGAATCGCATTTGTCAATTTTCCGTAAATGATAATTGTACTCCTTGAAGATACACACGAAAGCGTAAAATAGTAATAATAAAAATTGAAAACTAATAAATCTTGTGAAGAATAAGCGATTGTTTAATCTAAATTTCGATTCTATTTCCTACTCTAAGATTAAAATATCGATTGTTTGATTTCATACTATATAAAAATTATGTCGAATTCACAAGTAAAATAATTCGAAATAAAAAGTAGTTGTTTATGTTAATTTTGTATTATAGAAACAAGTATTTCGATGTACGAGATGTACTAAAAGTTTTTCTAATCAAAAAGCTTATCACGAACATTTACGTAGTCATGTTCCAGTATGTTGATGTTTATATTATAGTTTATGATTGAAATTTAGTTTATAGACTCATAAAATTAATAATGTATCTAGTCAAACAAATGCGATTTCAACAGCAGATGATACAGCTCGATATATTGCTGAACGTAGGAAGTATAATTTCATACGATGTGATTAGAACATTAGATAAATGATTTTGTTCTTTATAGAAATTTTCCAACAGCAGATAATATTAATAAAAAAATGAAAACAGATGAAGAACGACAAGAACGTGGTGATATATTAGAAACTCGACAATTTGGGTTAGTATTGATAACATTATAAACTTCGATCAATTAATTTATCTTGTTTTTGATTTACATAGACGAATGAAAGAACGTAAAACAATTCCAAATAAAAATATTGAGGTATAATCAAGGAGAATTTTTCATTTGAACTACTATTGTTATAGACTGAATCAACTACACCGATCATAACAACTACTATGACTAATCATAAACATAAGAATGCAACATTATTGGAACGTGTAAATAGATCATAGATTTAATTTTTCGTTAATTTATATTGTTTTTTTTAAAAGCTTTTAGCACCTGATATTCGTCGTGAACGTAATATGGTACTTCAATGTATTCGTCATATTGTAAATAACAATTTCTTTGGATTAGATGATCATTCAATTATATAAGCGATTGAATAAGTTTCTATGTATCATATTTGCATTAGATTGATTAATGATTTCTACTAATAGTGATATTATAAAATATGTATTTGAAGTTATGGAGCATTGTGTATTTTTCATAATGATCTTGTTAAATAAAATTACGCTTTTTGATTAGCTAAAGATGAATTTCTTTATACAAATTTAATAAGGAGTATTTACAATAGACTCAGATTTTATTGCCTTTAAATACTAGGGAATTTATAGGTAAATCATTTTGCTAAATTTCAATGAACTTGATTACATTTCGAACAAACTATTATAGAGATTGGCCTGAATTTTAAAACATATATATCGGTCTAGAAAACTAAATAATAACACTGAATTTTGCAAGAATTATCAGTCTGATCGATGCTGATTTTGTGGTTATTGAAGATTTTCAGTCTTTCATCCAGGTTTCTTTTTTCAGGTGCGGGAAATGAACATTCCGAGTGGGTGCTTCATATTAGTGCTTTGCGTAAGTCTTATTTTTAGGGTAAACCCCGCTCACTCACTAGATAAAACATTGAAGATCTTTAGAATGGCTCAATATAAATATTTACAATACCAGAAGTGATTTTATCCATGAATAATTATTCAATTGGTTTTGTTTTACAGGAGATATAATCGCGCTCTTTCCTTATTACTACAAAAATCAAGTAATGAAATTTAATCGAAAATTACAGAAAACAATTATATTGAAACGATCATCTCATCATTCTCGAAAGAAATTATCAAATCATGATCTATCAATTCAAACTCATAATATAAAAAATTTCAAAAAAAAATTTCGTTTTTCTTTTATAAAAAACTTTATATGGTATAAGAAAAAACATATATCAACTGCGAACTTACCATTAATATCTTCCCTATCATCACCACGAATTGAAGAACTTCATAATGAATTTATGAATGTACTAAGAGAAATGTGTAATAAATCAGAAATACAAAAATATCAACAAAGAAAATATTCAATTCTAAGTAATTTATTAAATATAAATCATTTTTCCAAAGAAATTATTCAAGAATATAATCTATATCATCAAACAGAATCTCATACACATAACCGATTATTAATTACACGATCCGTTGATAATTTTACTACAAAATCAATCGAACATTATTTGTATTCATCGTTAAGTTCTGAACCTATTCATCAATCATTTTTAAAAAATATTATAAAACGAACAAATAATTCATTAATAAAAATACCTTTAGAATCAACAGCTAATAACCGAAATTCACCATTGAATATATCTATAAAATCTGAATCATGTTTAAAAAAGCCTAATTCTCTTACGCATAGTAAATTATCACTAAAATCAGCATCAGAACAACAACAAGAAGCCGCAATTATTGATATTGAATATCCATCATTAAATTCTATTAAACCATTAGAAAAATCCTATTCATCTCCATTACCGATTAAAACAAATCATTTATCATTTAGTAATAATTATATTCAAAGTGCACATATTATTAGTCAATATGAAAATAAAAGTAAAATATCTTTATATTCTTCTATAAATGAAATGGAAAATGATGAATCTATGGAAAGTATTAGTTCCGATGAAGATAATGTTAAACGTAGTTTACTTGAATATCAAGAAAATGTACATATGAAAAATTTACGACATCGATGGAGTTTATTTGATGTATGGAGAAAAACTATGACGAAATTACCATCGACTTTAAATTGTATTTGGCGAGAAAGATTATATCATACTGGGTCAAGAGAATTTTGTGAGTTTTAATGATAAGTGAAAATTTAATATTCTTCTCTTGTTGCGCAGTACTTGAATACGATCAAATGTTACCGATGAATAATAATCAAGCAAATTTTGTACAAGAACAACGTTATATTGAACAAGAACGGCCACTTAAATCACATATCGGTCTTGCTCTACTCGCTTTATTAATATTTCCACCTGTTGGTAAATGAAAATACTTCGAGATCCGATCAAAACTGTAGCTAATAGAATTCGTACAATATATTTTTCACGTGTTTTAGGTATCGTTGCTATGATTTTAAGTATATGGTCTCTATGTGGTCAACAAGATCGAGATTTGTCGAGGAAATTTGGCAATGCTGTTTATTGGATATCTCTATTGTCTATCTGTTTATCATTTCTTCTTCTTTTTACACTTTTCACTTACTTTACTTATCAATATTTAATCAATCGATCAATTATTACTAGACAATCTCTAACTAATTATCGAACATATCGACCACTAATAAAAGATACAGACTATATTTAGATTGATATGCTAGCATAGGCTTCAATTTTTGTACTGAGATAAATGTAATTGTAATATAGTTTCATATTAATTTAAGATAATAATAAGCTTTGTTTTTATAATTCATAATAATAATGACATGTTTTAAGGAAAGTAATCAGGAATAAAATTGCTATTGTCATGCAATTGAGTACATCCAAATATTTCATGAATGGATTATTATATCTATTAACACACACAATGTCAAAAATTAACGAGTATATCATTTTCTTCGTCACGAAAATTAACATAAAGACCACATAGTGTTTATGATTATATTCAAAATAATGAAAATCAGTTTCAATGAATGATTTACCGTCTTTAGTATCATATTATGCACAAGTAAAGATAATAGCGTGCTAAATTAAATAATTCCATCTGAATATTTTTAATTATTGAAAATACTCATCTGGTGATACTTCACTTTCACAAACTTCAATTGATGGTGTAAGTATATTGATATTTTTCAAAGTATTTATAGAGATTCAAAAATCAACTGAGACTTTGTAAAACCATCATAAAATTCGATTAGAAGAATGATTGACTTTCGAATTCAGTTTAGAACAAACGGATAAATTCATCTCTTTTCTCGTAAACTTGATTTCAGTCAAGATACATAAATCTTTCGCTAATTTTCCATGTAATTGTTTGTTAGCACAAAACATATATATTAAAATAATTCTTATGCTTCCCGTGTGCTCTCACTGTGATATGATCTGAATGTGTCGAAATTAATTATAGATAATATTCATTTTTAAGAAATCTGTAGGTTAGTATCCGATAAATATAATTATTACTTGATAATAATATTTTCTTGTGAAATATTGATCGATTCATTCTATCAAATGAAAACAAAAATGTAATTATCGTCAGAATTATTTAATTGAAACGTTTCTCATTTATAGATACTTTTATGCGTGGTTTAATTGCAAGAAATATACATTTCTTTGATAGTTTAAAAATAGATAAAAATTTTCGCTTTTTAATTGTTTCTTACAAACAGATATTTGAGAAACTCTAATAAAAGTAATTCGATAACATATAGTTACTTGAGTAATCCATCTTTCTAAAATAATCGAAGCAATTTCTCGAATTACTCTTACAATATCAATGATTAATTACCAATTGTTACTATTCTTTTACATATATAACACGTCTGCTAGACAGTCTTGTTCGATTCATTTTTTTGTACAAGGATACATCATGTAAACAACATACTTTATTTACCAATACCAATTAGATACAATCAATACTTATTTATGATCCCATATTAAAAACAAATTTCTCTAATTTGCATATTTTGTTTTGTACAACGTCAGAATAATAAATATCCGAAATATACTGCGTAAATGGATAAAAACGTTCTCGAATACAAAATTACTATTAGCACGTGAGTCTTATCGAAATATAATCCATATAACGAATACAATTGCTAGCTATAAAAAAATCAATGTTGCGTATCGGGAAAAAAAACATATTTTTATTCTTTTTTTTGTATACATTAACATTCCAGAATGTAGCAGTATGAAACTGAATCTATTACTATTTTTCGTTAAAATTTTAAGCAAAAAATTCTATAAATTGTAATGTATAATAATCGATATTTAAGCAGAAAAAATCGATTAGTATTTCTTCAAAAAAACAAAATAAATGTTTCAATCATTATTTTTAATGAATGTTATTTTTTACGTACATGCTGTTTTCAATTATCATCATTAGAAATTCTGTTTTCAAAATCAATTATGATATAAAAAAAGATATGTTATTTCTTTAAATTAATTGAATGTATTTTGATTTTTTAAGGACATTTTTTTCTTTTAAATACTTATATGGATATTAAATAAAGTCATAGGTAGCTTCTGAATTTTTTTAAAAAAAATAATTTTGCATGAAACTATGAAGAACGATTTGAATTATCTTTTTTTATATGAAATGACGTTTCGAATGGTTAATTATGGCCTCTGTCTGCTATTAACTAAAGGTATACAGGTAAAAAATGCATTTCTCCCACGTCCGATATGAATGATTTCTCATTAGATAAATTGCTATAATTTATTCGTTGATTTTGTCTGTTTAATTATTTTTGATAATATTAGTATTTTAATGAGTTTTTTTTTTCTATATATGTATATATATTATTTGTAAATAGAATTGCTCGTCTATTCTTATATTTTTTTTGTTTGTTCATGGTTAAACATAAAAATGAGTCAACGTTTAAAATTTATATATTTTTAAATATCTGTTATGTCTTTTAGGTACAATTATGAGAAAAATAAAACTGTCTACATACATAAAATATTGCTCATATTCGTTGCTCATGTAAGAATGGACGTCTATTGATTATATCACATGAAATGAAGTACAAAGAGTAAATGTAAACTTTTATCTTTTCTACTGTACTCATTTTTTTTTCATTCATGGTTGACAGTGTTTCAAACTTTACCAAATGCATTCATGTATGACATTATAGAGATGAATATGCACGCACATATACATTGCATGGTAGTTATATCCGTTGATATAGACGCGTAGTTTGATCTCTCGTATTTAGTAAGTAAGTAGATATATTTCGAATTGTATCTTATATTGATAGAAACTTTAATCGTTGACTTAGATGTGTTAAGACGTTGTATATTTGTAGAAAAATAAGCATAGATAAGGAAATCTATTTTTGATCATGAATGTGTTCAATATAGTTTAATGGTATAATTAAAAAAGAATATAGTATGAGAGATATACATTAAAGTTTTTATTGTTGATAGGAGACGTTTATGTGTCCTATTTTCATGTCTGTCGAATATTAATGTGAGTTTAGTTGTAGTTCACGAATTGTTAAGAATTGAATATTAATTTCTATAGGATAATGTTCCTATATCATTCAAATCTATGAAAATTTTAATCAGCAATGTGGTTAAAATTAACGATGCACATGTGAGATAATAAAGCTTCAATTATTATTTGTAATGTTGAACGTACGTCGTTATTTCGGCTCTGCTTGTTTTGAACTCTTCAATAGTCAGAATACGTTGGTGGCGCCCTTATTTCATAGCAAGCGTATTAATCTGTGTAAGTCTTTAATAATCCTTCTCCAATTTATCCAATCGTACTATGACAAGTAAAAGCTTATCAACGTTTCTTTCTGGCATAAAGAAATGAAGATTGTCGAAAATCATATAGAATTTTAAGCGACATACTTTTTGTAAACTATCGGGATATTAGTTAGTTTTCTTTTACAGGACTTCTAAAAAGATACTATGATCTTTCTTTCTATTGATTGTGTATTTATCTATAGAAACAACCTACTTCGCTACGCAATGCACAATGAAACGAACAAGAAAAGAAAGTGATTTTTTACGCCCGAAAAGCGCACATCTTAAAGTGTCAACAAAAGAATATTTCTTTTTACATGTAAATACTTTTAAATTTGTTTTTATAGACAAAAAAGATATTTTTGTAATGCGAGAAAAAGTACACCGTTTGCGCACAGAATAGTCAATTTTTTCGTTGTTTACCTGGATAATAATGCCATAGCTTGCTATTGTATCGCGTATTCTTAGATTCTTTTAACAAAGAATGTCCTTATAAAAAGCATAGCAACTTCATATGCTTTTATTTTATTGAACTTTCTTTAAGAAATAAATGAGGTAGTATTAATAGAATTCTATTGACAAATCATAGCGATAGATGGCGACAGATTCGAGTAGCAAATCCTGCCGAAAAGCTGTTGAGTTTTATTGGGCCCAATAGGAATTCGTCGAAACATGGATCGTTCCTTTGGTAGAGGATATCAATAGCAAGGTGTCGAAATGACGATGATTCTCGTCAGAAGACCAGTAGGGCGATATTCGGCAACTTGCTATCGAAAATCTTATATCAAAGAAGTGGTCAATTTCCGACAAAATTCTATTGGTCAATGCCTTCTGTAAAGGTTAACCACTAGTTTAAATGAGAAAAGACGCATAATATGGCATGTTTGTCAACCAACATCCATGTAACGACTTCTGGACCAGTATAGAAATATATATATTTATGTAAACCTTTATTCTTTTGAAGAAATCGCGTTTATACTGTATTTTCTTCGTCTTTTATATAGTACCCGAAAAGATAGCTACGCACTAACATGTATATATATTCAAGTACAAACTAATGTTTATAATCTATGTATCACTCAGTGAGAATGTTGGGTAGAACTAAACCATAAGGAAAGTTTGTTTTTATAAATAGAAGAAATAAGTATACAAGATGTCAACATATAATGCATGGTTCGACACATAAATAATCAGGGAAAATATAAAGTGACATGTAGATAATATGATGTATTAGGGGATGACAAGCAGATATTGTTTTCATGGCATAAGCATCGGTACGAAGGGGAAGAAAAAAGAAAGGATGCAGGAGGCGTAAGGAAAGAAGAAGCGAGGAGAGATATGTGTGTTAGGGACAAATCTTTTGGTGCATAAAAAAGAAAAGAGGACATGTACAATCTTTTAGATTACCATAGTTGTGCCATGATTCTAGATTATGCTCTTCATGTTATAAACAACGTTATCTATTATATATGTGCGAACTTTCATTAGGTGAGCCGAATTTGTAATTCTTCGTATTTACATTGTTTGAAGCCCTCTCCGAATGATTTACTGCAGTGAGATACAATTCTAGCACATCTTTGAAACAATATGTTTGTGCTTCTTATGAGAGATTGAAATTGCCATTTATTCTTTATTTATTGATAGATGAGAACGACAAATATTCTTCGCAAAGATCCTTATTTAGTGTAAATTGTAGAATTTCTGCTATGTTAGCATGTAAATACTTTTTCTTAAGTCATTCTCTGCCGTATAGAACTAACTTGAGTAGATCTGAGAAATTCAGCTACTTTTATTCCTGAAAGTAACCCAGAATCGCGCTACTCTGTTAACATAACATAGCATTTTATACGTATATATGCTATTATTCGGTGAAAATTTTGCCTTTTTTAAAAG